GTCATTCTGATTTATGCTATTAAACACAAATCAAGCAAATTCATTAAGCTGCTTACAAAAGGCTTTTTATTTATAGTCTATGAACAAGTAAGCTGTTAATACTACTGGCCAGGCTCTGGGCAGGTCATGGAACTTTCTTCCAAAGAAATCAGGGGACCTTAATTTTTTAAAAAAATCTTTTAAATACTATTAGAGAAATACTCTAAAGTTTCTATAACCACAACCAATGAGAAAAAAGGAAAACATGAGCAGGTTAACACTTCTTGAAAATAAACACACAGCAGAAAAAAAGATTTAAATTAATTTACATAATAGTTCAAGTATTCAAAGTGAAGGTTAAGTACAGACCTTATTAAAATAGGATACCAAAGCAGTAACTATTTAAAAAAAAAATGGTGCTACTATCATAATAATGAAAGACGCTACTAGCAAGGTTTAAGCACAAAGGCCAATTAATTTGAGGGACAGATCCCATCCTTAAAAAAATGGGTCAGAATCAGTCATTCCTTTAGATTATTTTGTGAAAGAGCACAATTTAAAAATCTGTAATACTAAAGAACAAAACCAGAGGTATCGTGCTCCATGATTTCAAACTATACTACAGAGCTTTTCAGTAATCCAAACACTATGGTGCTGGGATAAAAACAGACAGACATATTAATGGGACACAACAGACAGCCCAGAAATAAACCCACACTCACATGGTCAACTGATCTCTGACAAAAGAGGCAAGAATACAGAACGGGAAAGAGAGCCTCTTCAGTAAGTGGTTTTGGAAAGACTGGACAGCTTCATGTAAAAGAATCAAACTGAACTACTTTCTCACACTCTATACAAAAATAAACTCAAAATGAATTAAACTTAAATGTTTGTAAGACCTGAAACATAAGACTCCTAAAAGAAAACACAGGCAATACTAGGGATGAAACATACAACATGATTAATGTAATTAATGTTGCTATATAGGAAAGCTGTTAGGAGTAAATCCTAAAGAATTCTTGTTTTTTTTGTATTTTTTTCCTTTTGTATCTACAGGAGATGACAGATGTTCATTAAACTCACTGTGGTAATCATTTCATGGTGTAAGTAAGTCAAATCATTATGCTGTACATTTTAAACTTATACAGTACTATATGTCAATTATGTCTAAATACAACTGTAAGAAAGAAACTTAAAAAAAAAAAAAAGAAAACACAGGCAGTACTCTTTTTGACACTGGTCTTAACATTTTTTTGGATATGCCTCCTCAGGTAAGGGAACCTAAAGGAAAAAAAAAAGCAACCCCCCCCCCCCCGAAAAAACCCAAAAGAAAAAAACCAAATGGGACTACATCAAACTAAAAAAGCTTTTGATGAGCAAAGGAAACAATCAACAAAACAAAAAGGCACCCTACTGAATGGAAGAAGATACCTGCAAAAGGATACACCTGATAAGGGGTTAAGATCCAAAATATACAAAGAACTCATACAACTCAGGATAAAAAAGACAACCTGACAAAAAACAGGGCAGAGGACTTGAACTGACGTTTCTCTGAAGAGGACATACAGATGGCCATGAAAAGAGTTTAACATCACTAATCATCAGGGCACTACAATCAAAACCACAGAGTCAGAATGGCTATTATCAAAAGGAGAACAAGTGCTGGTGAGGATGCGGAGAAAAGGGAACCCTCGTACATTGCAAATTGGTGCATCCACTACAGAAAACAGTATGGAGGTTCCTCAAAGAAATTAAAAATAAAACCACCACATGATACAGCAATTCCACTCCTGGGTATTTTTCTGAAGAAAACAAAAACAATGATTCAAACATATATGCACCCCTATGTATTGCAGCATTATTTACAATAGTCAAGATACAGAAGCAACCTCAGCATCCATCAACAGATGAATGGATACCCCTCTTCAACACATGTGACCACCTCCTCTGTCCTCACACAGGTCCAAGCCACCATCTCAGACCTGGATTCTTTTAATGGCCTCTTCAAGGAGGCCACCGTTTCCTCCCAGGGTCTTGCACAGAGGTATCTGTTAGAACATCAATCAGATCAGATCACTCCTCTGCTCAAAGCCTGCCCATGGCTCCCCAGCTCACACAGAGGAAAAGCCACAGGCCTCACCCTGACCCACAAGGACTCACCTGAGCCAGCTCTATTTGCTCTCAGACCCCATCTACTCACACACCCTTAACTCACACCACTGGCCTCGCTGCTGTTCTTGAACCAGAAACATACTCCCACCTCAAAGTATAAGGCATAGAAGCCTTTTTCCAGGCTTGGAGAGAACTCTTCAAGCAGAGGTAACAGCAGTGACTAGATCTCCAGATCACATACAGGCAAGCAGAGCACAGATGGGGCTGAAACAGCAAACCAACGTGTCTGCTGCTCAAGGGCTGCAGGAGGCCAGTGTGTAAGCGGAGTGGACGTGAAGGAGGTGAGGAGAGGAGGCGGTCCTCGGCCTCCCGGTCTTCCTGTGCCCCTCTTCAACCTGAATGTTCCTAGGTGGCATGTATCTCCACCTGGCACACGGTGTCTTTTCTGTAAGTTTGTTTCCTGTCTTCCCTCACTGGAAGCAAACTCCATGAAGGCAGTAAGTTACTTTGTGTTGTTCCCAGTGGGGTTCTTACTCCTGGTATGTAGCAAGCACTCATGATCAACAAAAGAGTCCAAAATGCAGTACTTAAGTGCAATCTCAAAAACAACAAAATGATCTTGGTTTGTTTCCAAGGCAACCATTCAACATTAATGGTTTAATGTTGGACAGTAATCCAAGTCTGTGTCCCAACCACTGTGCCAAAGATAGTTGGCAGAGAGAGTGCCTGAAAAACTACAGACGGAGATTCATAACATTGTTGTACAGGAGACAGTGACCAAAATCATCCCAAAGAAAAAGAAAAGCAAGAAGGCAAAGTGACTGAGAAGGCTTTACAAATAGCTGAGGAAAGAAGAGAAGTGAAAGGCAAGGGAGAAAGGGAAAAATATTTAACTAAATGCAGGGTTCTCAAGAATAGCAAAGAGAGATAAAAAGACCTTCTTAAATGAACAATGCAAAGAAGGAGAGGAAAACAATAGAATGGGAAAGACCCACTCTCTTTAAGAACAGGGAAAAGGCAAATACGGTGGTACAGGTGGTGGTAGATAGTCATGAATGGTGGTGGGAGTCTGCAGAAGTTCCTGTATCACTTTCATTTTCTCAGTTGAAGAAAATTACATTTCAGGTAACTCTACTAATAAGCAACATAAAAAAGCAAGAACTACTGGTCAGAAATAACAGGTCTTACCTGACCCACTCATATTTCCCAATGGTGCTTTCTTCTCCTAAAAATGCAAATCTTTTTTTTTAAATTTTTTCCATTTATTTTTATTAGTTGGAGGCTAATTACTTTACATCATTGCAGTGGTTTTTGTCATACATTGAGATGAATTAGCCATGCATTTACATGTATTCCCCATCCCGGTCCCCCCTCCCACCTCCCTCTCCACCCGATCCCTCTGGGTCTTCCCAGTGCACCAGGCCCGAGCACTTGTCTCATGCACCCAACCTGGGCTGGTGATCTGTTTCACCCTAGATAATATACATGTTTCGATGCTGTTCTCTTGAAACATCCCACCCTCGCCTTCTCCCAGAGTCCACAAGTCTGTTCTATACATCTGAGTCTCTTTTTCTGTTTTGCATATAGGGTTATTGTTACCATCTTTCTAAATTCCATATATATGTGTTAGTATACTGTAATGGTCTTTATCTTTCTGGCTTACTTCGCTCTGTATAATGGGCTCCAGTTTCATCCATCTCATTAGAACTGATTCAAATGAATTCTTTTTAATGGCTGAGTAATATTCCATGGTGTATATGTACCACAGCTTCCTCATCCATTCGTCTGCTGATGGGCATCTAGGTTGCTTCCATGTCCTGGCTATTATAAATAGTGCTGCGATGAACATTGGGGTGCATGTGTCTCTTTCAGATCTGGTTTCCTCGGTGTGTATGCCCAGAAGTGGTATTGCTGGGTCATATGGCAGTTCTATTTCCAGCTTTTTAAGAAATCTCCAGACTGTTTTCCATAGTGGCTGTACTAATTTGCATTCCCACCAACAGTGTAAGAGGGTTCCCTTTTCTCCACACCCTCTCCAGCATTTATTGCTTGTAGACTTTTGGATAGCAGCCATCCTGACTGGCGTGTAATGGTACCTCATTGTGGTTTTGATTAAAAATGCAAATCTATCTTTACATATAACCAGGCTGGAAAACCTAAGACTCTGTTAATAGTTCAACACATACAAGGTTCACCAATAAAAACGCAGGAAAAAGTGATTAAGAATCAATCAAATTTATTTGTATGCTCTGGTAGAAGGCTCATTTATATGATGATAAATCACTTCTAAGATTTAGAATATAGGGCACTGACCATTAAGAGTTTTAGCTCTAAAAAGAAAGAGTACTCTAACAATTCATATGTAAAAGTGAAATGGGAGGAGGGTGATAAAATTGATGGTATTTAAGGGTACAAATCTGTAACAAGTAATAAACCATAGGGGTTTCCCTGGTGGCTCAGTGGTAAAGAATCCGCCTGACAATGCAGGAGATGTGGATTCAATCCCTGGGTTGGGAAGATGCCCTAGGGAAATGGCAACCCACTCCAGTATTCTTGTCTGGGAAAGCCCGTGGACAGAGGAGCCTGGTGGGCTTCAGTCCAAGGGGTCACAAAAGAGTCAGACACGACTGACTGACTAACCAGCAACAGCAGCAGCAGTAAACCATAGCGCTCTAACGCACTGTATAATGGATACGGAATATAACAGTGCACAGTAATTATGTAATTAGTGCTGCTATAATGCAATCACATTGTAATACATAAATCTATCAAAACAACACACTGCACTCCTTAAACTTACACAACGTTACATGTCAAACTTATCAATAAAAAAAAAAGTGAAATGCACTTTTCACAACAGGAGACTGAATTTCCTTCTGAGTAGAAACACAGTTTTGAAGGGTACTCACCAACAGTGGTCACAGGAGGCTGGGAAGGGTACTGGGAACTTGTTGTTGCAGGATACTGCCCACCAGGTGGGTAGGGACAGCCTGTGTAACCACTAAAGACAAAGACAGAAAGCATTAAATACTTCGATGGCCAAACTTTACAGTGTCTTTAAGAAGCCCAGGAAGCTAAGCTGGATATTCCATTGTTTTACAAGTTCATGACTTTCCAGTTTTAGAGCTACAGTTGCCTATTTAAGTGAAGTTCTAAAGAAATTCCATTAATGACACTTTATTTAATGAAACACTCTTGCTTGGCCGTGGTTTCTGTTTGCTTTTTCTTGGCCCACAGCATGCGGGATCTTAGCTCCCCAATCAACTATGCCGCTTACAGTGGAAGCACAGAGTCTTAACCACTGAACTGCCAGGGAAGCCCCTTGGCCCTGGTTATTTGAGGGCCACCCTCACAGTAGCAGAAAGCAACGTGAGTTTTTCTAAAGGCAATCCAACAATATCAGAACTGAAAGCAACAGATATTTTGTGAGAACTTTTCCATTCTAATTTCCTAGCACGTAGTACTCATATTCCATGAAAGTTGCACCTTTATTCTTTTCAATTCTCCTACTCATAATCCTGTATTTTCCTGCCATATTAGGGTGTTTCCTTAATCTTTGCTGGGATTTCTTTTTTTTTTTTTTTCTGGTTTCCATATCATACCCGTGACTACATAAAATGAGTTGCAGAACTTGATGACTAATAAGTTTCCTCTCAGCTGTAAAATGTTATTACTGTTTGCCACTCGCTCCACCTCTAAATGCCTTCTTTTCTTCTTAAGGTCATTCTCATAAATCAGTTCCCTCATTTACGAAGCTGCCTCTGATCACCCACCTCCAAGTCAGATGTGGCCTCTCCTTTAAAGCTCACTTTATCACAGCATTTACCACTTTCTGTCTTTTCTGCTATCAGAAACTCTTTCTAATAATACATGCTTGCTAGGATATATACCCATACTCAAACTATTCTTGACATACTTTTTAATTTCCTTGTATACATGCTGCAGGTGCTAAATAAAACTTTCAAAAGATCTTAAAATTTGAAAGAGACCTTAGAGGTTACCTAGTCCAACTTTCTATAACAAGAATAAATAATCTCATATTCATTGTTTTAAAAATACAGATTCTTGAGTCACTGACTTATTAACTCTCCTTTAGGATAAAGGAAGAAGGGAAAGAGGTTCTCTTCTGCCAAGACCTTTCATAGGCCGAAAGATACAGACAGCAATATGAATAGTTACCTTTAACAACTCATCAGCATATCATGAGATTAAAAGTTACATCACACACACACACACAACCCCATTAAATCTCTGAAAAATAGATGCCTCAAAAAGCAACTTCTTACAAATAACCTTACAAAAGACACTTTAAAGGTTATGTAAGATTAAATGAATATGATTCACATTTCTGTCAATATTTTCAGCCTTCATTTTTATCTACGAGTCTTTTTTGAAGTGGCTTTATTGTTCAGAAGTCCATTTCCTTATTGTGCTTCTAATAATCATTCCCTATGTACCTGAAGTTCATTCTAGTTTACTAGCAACTGTTGACTATAAAGGCTTATAATTTCAAGGCTTCAGACAGAATTCCATTTCTGTAACTTAATCAAAAAATTAACAGCCTTAAGAAATCTAAAACTGATAACCTGTTACTGTATATAGCCACCACAGGAATCTGTCTCTCTTGTCTCTGATGGATGTTCATCTAGTCTCTGCTTACTCATCTAAATGTAAAAGAATATTTACTACCTTATTAAGCTAGTCCCTGAAACTAAGAAAGGCCCCCAAATAAATATCCTTGCTAAATTTAACTTATAAGAGTCAGCATATTATATATGTACATACATATGTTTATTTATGGCAGGTGTTGAGGAAATTTAGCTGCATATATTTGTGAGGGTTTTTTGAAGCTGAGAATTGAGGGTTAAAATTTTGTTAATTCTTATTAATTTCGAGTAGCTGTATATTTCATCTGGGCACCAAGTATAGGCCTGTCTTGCATTCTAAGCCAGTCCCAAGACCACCCTGGATTCTAAGTTAACCCCAAAGAGTGGAAACTACTCCTAGATTACCACTGAAACAGGCACACATTTAAAACATGGGTTAATAATTATTTCCTACTGATTTTTCTCACATGTATTATTCACACACTGATTTTATTATTAATTTACTTCTATAATATTATCACATGGATAATAAAGGTTGGCAAAAAACTGAATAAATAATAGTCCATGAACTGAATAAGTAAATATCATGTGGACAAGAGTGACCCCATCATATGAACTATTAATTCATTCCCTATAGTTTACAGAAAAGGTCAGTTTTTTAAAAGGATATTAAAATATTTTTCTCCATGGCTGAAATCATAATTAGTATTCCATTAATCTTTCACCTATTTACAACGGATATACAGAGTTCTCAAAAGGAAAGAAGCAAGGATTTCAAGGTCTAAAACTAATCAAGATCATCGTCATTTCCCACCCCTTTCCTCTCTGTAAATAGAATAGAGCTGCATTTCCTTAGAATGGAAAAAACTCCTGTTCAACTATGTACATATGATAAAATTTCACCAATATACTGAGCTTTACCTTCCATTAAATTACAACCAAATTTACTTTAATGCCCTAGTTAGCAACCATTATTTTATTCTAGATCTAACAGAATTTCTAAAACAATTATTCAAAAGATATTTTTTCATTACCTGGGATTGGGAGGGTACCCAGATGGGTATGCAGAAATCCCACTTGGCATGCCTGGCATGTAGGAAGCTAAAAATAATTTTTAACATTTTAAAATATGCACATAGTCCTGGATATACAGGTTATTAAATAAGACTTACATCACCATCAAACCACAGCAATATTTCATACAGGTAAAGAATTCAAATCTTGCCAACAAAACACTCCATCCATATTAGTTCTTTACTACAGCTAATAAGTATCTTCAAATCACATTAATTCTAAAAGCATTAAACATGACTTATGACAACACACATGACAATCCCAACAAGGAATAACTGGCCAACAGGTCAACTTGGTTAGCTCTTCAAGCCTAAAGGAATCTACGATCTGAGACAGGAGTCAATTCAGTTTGGAATTTGGAGGAAGTGGTCAAGGTCAGCTTCTTACAAAGTGACCTCTTTATTATATCTAAGATATCTTTTGATATTTATTATAAGATTACGTTGACCAATTAGCACAGTTGGTTTTGTTGGCTTCAGTGAAGATTTTAAAGGACTTCAGATTACTATTAAGAAGTCCTACACAGAACTTATATTCACCTAGATTAGTTAAAACCAAACAAAAGCTTGGAAATACTAAGGGGGAATACTAAGGGGTTCAAAGCTAGCATGCTTAAAAAATGTTTTATATATATTTTAAAGAGAACACTAATGATATAGAAGCTAGTCAGTGGTGCCAAGAAGCTAACCAACACAGGAAGAAAAAGAGAATTTCAGCCTTAACTAGAAATGACTTGTCTGAGAATCAAATTATCCTCAGTGAAATTTTTTTCACTGAATATAATGATGAATTAGCTATTAATTCAATCAATAAATATTTTAGTGCCTTCCTATGAAAGGTACCAGATTGGGAAAAAAAAAAAGACTTCCTAGCCTCAAGCTGCTTATAGTCTTACGAGGAGATAAACAAAGGAGTATCAATACAGAGGGACAAGTGTTATGACAGGATGAATACAGAGTGTTATATGGGATCGTACTGCTGCTGCTGCTAAGTCGCTTCAGTCGTGTCTGACTCTGTGCGACCCCACAGATGGCAGCTCACCAGGCTCCCCCGTCCCTGGGATTCACAGGCAAGAACACTGGAATGGGTTGCCATTTCCCTCTCCAATGCATGAAAGTGAAAAGTGAAAGTGAAGTAGCTCAGTCATGTCCAACTCTTAGTGACCCCATGGACTGCAATCCACCAGGCTTCTCCATCCATGGGATTTTCCAGGCAAGAGTACTGAAGTGGGGTGCCATTGCCTTCTCTGATGGGATCGTACAGGAGGTAGCTAATTTCAACACAGGATGTGGTGGTAAACAAGAGTGATCGAACAGATGAATAGTATACAAAGGCTTGAAGAGAGGTGGAACCTTCGAGAAATAAATTTTTGGAGGACATAATGCAAGTAGATGGCAGAAGCTTGCTGGGCTCTGACTATAGACCTTAAAAGTCTTTATCAGAGTTGCTGAGCTTACATCCCCAAGTATCAGTGTTCATAGTCTTCCTGTTAAGATATATCTATAGGTATCATAAGTAAATTTTTTCTTAAGAAAAATGAAGCTAAGGATGATGTTTAATGCTATTTCAGAAAGGGAAAACGCTTTCCAAAATGTCACAATTGCTAAGTCTCATAAAACATTTCTTCTTCCTGGGTCAAAACACGGTTGATCTTTATGAATACCAAAAGATGAGGCCGGCCACTATTAGGTATCAGCAACATGTACAGTCACTTACTAGTTTCTCTTCCCATGTTAGTTTCTCTCGCACACATATAAATGACATTTCACCATTATAAGCAATTTTCTCATAATTATAAGTACTTTTCCTTTTCTAAGGTTCTGCAAAGCAAGTAATTTGACCAAACTCTTTAAATTTTGATTTTGGGAAACAACAAAAGTTATCTGAGTCCAAGACTGATAAGGAAGCAGATAATGAGGTGAAATAATTTCAGAGCTAGAATAAAATGAAATACAAATAAGCATAACATACCTAAGGATTAAGTAAGAATATGAAGTGTTTGTCTGTGTCTCACAGTTACCACTGATTAAGTGTTGACTATTACTGTCAAAAAATGAGGTTTGGCCATAGCACACTTTTTTGGTGTGACTTCTACCTAACTCAAAAGTCATCCTAAAACCAAAGATCAAAAATATTTAAAGATAATGATGATAATAATAAAAGTACGTAATTTTTCAACTAGAAGATCGTATTTGTTTAAGTATGGATCCAAATTTGTGAGCTATTCCTTGATGTGTATGTATAGGACAGAATTCAGACCTTCATTTCTTTGCAGTCATACCTAATAATAAAGAATATTGTTTAAATGTATAAAAAGTATTGAAAAAAAAGTATTGGGTAGACAGTAAGTTGATCTCTTTTAGTAATTTACATATATTAGCTCTAGACTGTTTACAGTCTAGATTTACAACGAATGAGTACAAAACGGAATTGTAACAGTAATCTGTTTGGTGAGATCTCTTTCGAGAACGCTGCACTTCCCCTGTTAATATAAAACTAGAAGAAATTTAGGAATAATATGCTGCTTAGGAGACTTTCTTACCTTTATTGTAAGTGGTCACTGGCTGTGTTATTTGAGCAAATAAATATGAATGATGAGCTAGGAAATATTTGGCATTTCAAACTTAGATGCGCAAGATTAATCTTGTGTATTAAAGTCAACAGAATTTATTAAGATGAAAACAAATTTCTGGACCAAAAGAATCCCTAGAATCTACTTTATTAAAAGAGCTACAAAATGCTACAACCAAACCTTTTCTGGGAAAGCAGGGAAGGAAAAGGATTAAGGAAATTCTGTTAGATTTCCATTCAGCTTGTGAGTCAAGATGCTACTCAAGATAGAATGAATAAAAGAGGAAGAGGATAATTTTCAGCAGAAGGAAAATGAAAGCTCATGTAATCTAACTTATAAGATAAATAAATTTGGTTAATTATAATATCAAACAAAATCTGTTAAAAAAAACAAACCACAACTTAAAACACAATAAACAGGTTTAGTAAAGTCAAAACAAGTACAACCAACTCTCAATTATCTATGGTGATTTTAAAGTATCAGTAAGAATTATTAAAAAAAAAAATCCAGAAATAATAGAGATAATGTACACCAATTAGGGGAGAATTTATACTGACTCCATGCCTCACCCCTTGGACTCAAGTAAAATGAATTGGCTGTACTCAAGAGAAGAAAGCTGAGAGCTAGGTCATTGTGTATACCCAGAATAGCTGAACATGAATGATATAGTTGATTCTGTAATTGATTATAATCTACAACGCTGATCCTGGAGTTGCAAAGAAAAGGAGAGGTCAGATTGCCTTTCAGGTTGTATCTGCCTCCAAATTGATCAATAAAGCTATTCCATGGCATGCAAAATTAAAAAAAAAAATTCCAGCTCTATTCCAGCATTCTTTCTCCTCCATTTTGGAATCCAGCACATCCATAGTTAAGATTTCTACCCACAAACGAAAGCCCAAATGCCAGTCTTTGTTGGGAATCTGTACATGCAGATGTGGGGCCTCAGAATACCTCCAAAAAATCCACTAACTTGATAAGCTAAAGAGCAAAGGGAAGTCATTAAAAAAAGTTATTTTATAAGATTTTCTGTTTGTTTATACGAGTTTAAAAATCAAATCTCAATTCTACTTACTATTTGGTGGCCCTGTTGCCTGGTATGGTGGATAGGATGCTGAAACAGTAGGACGAGAGAAGACAGGAGGTTCATCTCCAAACACCACAATCATGACTTGAATAAGCCCCAACAAGTCTGACTGTGGCTAAAAATGGAAAACAAATTTAAGGCAGTTACAGATTTAATTTTTGGTAAACAGGAAATGTCTGGCCAGTTCTTATCTGTTTTCAACTTAGCTCCACAGTTTTCTTTGTAGGACTCCAAACATGAAACTTACATTTAATTAACAGAGCTATGTGCTGTCCTATTATTTTTGTGTAGCAAGGCTGCTGTTTCCTGTATAGAAAACCGGCATGAGCGAAAGCACCACACTGCGAAACTTCAGACAGTACTGTTCTTCACGTGACTCCGTACAGCTCACCAAAACTTACCGTATTTCCAGAGGACAAGTTAAGGATTCTGGTACAAATTTAGGGACAGATGGAAGCACTAGTCACAAGTATTATTTAAGGCCTTTAAAAAGATAACAATGTTACCTTGAAAACACATGTTCCTCAACTAATTTTTATTAAAGATAGTACTGTAATTTCTTAAATTATAGGTAGACTCCATTTTAGAAATTACTAGATTGTTGTACAAAAGACACAAATTGTTAAAGGATCTTTCCTTCTAATATCAGTTACAAAGAGAGTGCTGTATCCCATAAAGGCTGCTAAATTTTTTTCTCAAATATCTAACTGATCACTAATTTAAGACAAACTATGCTAGGCAAAGTTGTTCAAACTGACTTATCTGATGATCCCGTTTCTATACCCATTACTGTATTTTGTGTATAGCTCATCTCATATACTTTATTCATGAGTTCATCAAGTTCTGAAGGGTTACTCAATGATCTTGATCTGCTAACTGTCTTCATAACTTCCCTTCTCCTGACAGAAGAATTTACTAGCTGTTTTCAACTTTCCTAAGCACCATTTTGTTTACTTCTGTCCCAAAGTATGGTCAATGACAACAGATAACATTTCAGAAAGGTTCTTATGAAAACAGTGATTCTCACTACTCCAGTATTTCTCATATGTGTCTATGAACTGACAGGCTGAGGCTGGGAGCAAGCATGTAAAGCCTCTGCGCAGCACTGAAGAGGGGGCTGGAGATCATGGCTGGTGTGTGGCGGCTGCTATTGGGAACCACAAAATTTAATCTCTTATCTTTAGTCCAAGAAAACTCCCAAACTCACTCATAAAGTGATTTTAAAATCATGTAATTTAAAAACTGAGATTATAGCATAAAATTTACCATCTAAAGGTATACAGTTCAGTGGGGCTTTCCCCCCATCATCACTATCTAATTCAGAACACTGCCATCATCCTCCAAAGAAATCTGTATCTATTAGTGATCCTTTCCAATTTCCCCCTCCCTCCAGCCCCTAGTAACCACTAATCTATTTTGTCAATGGATTGCCTACTCTGAACATTTCATGTAAATGGAATAATATAATACGTGTCTGGCTTTTTTCACTTAGCATATTATTTTCAAAGGCTCACTCATGTAGTATGAATAAGTACTTCGTTTATACAATCTCATAACCATCATTTTGTCAAGACAAGTTTTACTTTAATTCTTTATCATACCATTCCTTTCATGTTAGTTTTTGAAGGAAGGAAATGAATTGTTTATATCTACTTCCAGGCCTATTATAAAGCAATAGGACATTAATATTTCAGAATGACAAATTACTAATTCAGAATAATATGGGAAGGATACCAAAAAAATAGCAAGAATATTAGTTTATTTTAGCTCAAATGCCTAAAGGTCAACTGAAACATATCTTTATAAAACTGCTTCCCTATTGAAAACCCTGGTAAGAGCAAAATTGCTTCCTTCCCTATCCCTTTTGTTTGCTTTTCCACAAAGCAATAAAAATGTAAATTTCACATTCCAAGCAGCATGTATGTTCAGAGTTAAAATTAATAAGCAATTTAACTGGTAAGATCAAGATAAATGACAGCAGCCCTCACTCATCTTCTGCGTCATGCTGGATTACTGCAATAGCCTTCTGTGTGGCTTCTAGTTTTCCTTATTTGCTATGACTGAGAGGCTTTTCTGTAGAAGTTCATGCTCCTCACACCTAATACAGAGTTGTTGCTGAGAATCAGTTGCTTATGCAGTAACTACATTTTCCAGTCTCTCTTGCAACTAGATTTTACTAACGGACCATAAGCAGAAGAGATTTAACTTCTAAGCCAAGGTGCATAATGAATGCAATCCTCCACTAGTCCCTCTTTGCTTGTCTTCCTTGACAGAGGACTCTGAAGCCCTGGCAGATGGTGGCACCACAAACTGGAAAGAGCCTGGTGCCTGAAGCTCTAGTGAAGGAAAGTTGCCTGCCGGCAAGGAAGACTCCCAGTGGGCTATTATGTGGGCAAGAAATTTCTAGTGTTAAGTCTCTAGAATGTTTTAGAGCAGCCAGTGATTTTTCAGTCAGAAAGCTAATTAATGTATTTATCTAGTATACTTCAGATATTATACCTGATGATCACTGCATTTAATAACCTACTCTTGTTCAAACATCTAAAATGACTCCCAACTGCTTACTAAAGGACAAAATCTGTAGCTAAAAATCAGGATCTTCCATGATATAACCTTGAAAACCACGCCAAAATTAGCTACCATTATGTCTTATTAGATCTGTGGAATATATCATACATAGATAGATAAATGTATAAAACAAATGTAACTTTAAAGAGTAACCATAAAGGTAGCTATCACCCAACTTAAGAAGAAGATTCGAGGGTGGGATGTTTCAAGAGAACAGCATCAAAACATGTATATTATCTAGGGTGAAACAGATCACCAGCCCAGGTTGGGTGCATGAGACAAGTGCTCGGGCCTGGTGCACTGGGAAGACCCAGAGGGATCGGGTGGAGAGGGAGGTGGGAGGGGGGACCAGGATGGGGAATACATGTAACTCCATGGCTAATTCATTTCAATGTATGACAAAAACCACTGCAATGATGTAAAGTAATTAGCCTCCAACTAATAAAAATAAATGGAAAAAAAAAAAAAGAAGATTGACAGTAACTTAGAAGTTCCAGACTGCATCCCCATCTATTTAGAGTTACCCACTTCTCTGACTTAGTGGATGATCATTCCTTTCTTTAAACATACTATATCTCATTAACAATTCTCTAAACAGTATGTTTAATTTTTCCTATTTCTGAACTTCATATGAATTAAATCAAAATGTATTCTATTCAGACTTATTTCAGCAATGTTTTTAAGATACATTCTTGTTCAAGAATATAATTATAAATTCATTTTGATGGCTGTATGGTATTCTACTGAGTGAATATACAACTTCTTTATTCATGCTTCTATACTGCTAACAGTCATATGGATTATTTATGTTGTCATGAACATTCTTGCTATGTTTCCTAGTATACATGTGCAAGGTTTACTCTTGGGCAGTGGTTTTCAACTGGGGGTGCTATTTTAGCCTCCTAGTGAATATTTAGAAACATCTAGAGACATTTATAGTTGTCATGTGGCATCTACTGGCATCTTGTGGATAAAGGGCAGGGATTATATCCTGTAATGAACAGGACAGCCTTTCTACAGTGAAGAATTATCCAACCCCCAACCCACAATGCCAGTAGCACTAAGGTTGAGAAACCCTGCTCTAGTGTAAAGTAGAACCAAGGAGTAGAACTGCGAGGACACAGGGCATGGGCACTTACAACTTTACTAGGTAATGCCAAACTAATTTCGAGTAGCTGTGTAAACCTCCATCAGCAATGTCTAAGAGTTCCCTTTGTTCCACATCCTCCATAACTCTTGGAACGGTCAACTGGGAGTGAAAATTTAATGGACATGTAATGGCATCTCATGAATTTTAAATTATTATATATTTCCCTCTCCATTAGCAGGATTAAAATCTTTCCATATATTTATTGGCCATTAGGATTTTTTGTGAAATACTTATCCAAGAGTTTCATCTATTTTTCTACTGGGCTTCTTTTTATGATTCCCTGAAGTTATTTCTATGTTCTGGATATTATACTGTAGGTGATGAGTATATTCTTTCAGTTTATGGTTAGTCTTTTCACACCTTTTAATGTGTGTTTAATGAACAGAAGTTCTTAATTTGCATAAGTTCAATTTAGTCTTTTTTCTTTTAGAGTAAAAGTTTTGCATCTTCTTAAAAAAAAAACCTCACCTATTACAAGATCATGAAGGTAGTCTCCTATATTGTTTTATTTTTTTGCTTTTCACAATTTATCTGAAATTAATTTTTGTATACGATACAAATAGGAATCTGTCCCAACTCCACTACTGAAGTTCTTAATCTTATTCCCACTGATCTTCTATACCATAACTGTTATACAGTAAGTGTTTATACTTAGGTGTAATTTCTTTTTCTTACTGTGCTTAGCTTTCCTGTGTTTTGCAGATACTGCAATTTTTACAAATTGAAGGTTTGTGGCAACCCTGTTATGTCAGATAATAGTTAACATTTTTTAACAATAAAATATTGTTTAAAAATTTTCTTGAAGTATACTTGATTTACACTGTTCTTGTAATTTCCGCTGTACAGCAGTGTGATTCAATTATACATATTCTTTCTCATATTCTATTATGGTTTGTTACAGTATACAATAAAGGTTTTTTTTAAATTAAGGTATAAACACTTTTTTTTTTAGACCTAACAGTATTGCACATTTAACAGACTACAGTACAGTGTAAACCTAACTTTTATATGCATTGGGAAACCATGCAATTCATGTGACTCATTTTATTGCAATATTTCGCTTTATTGCTATGGTCTGGAATCAGGTCTGCAAGGTCTCCATGCCTGCATAGTGGATCTTTTTTCTGGGTTATTTATTATGTTCCATCTATCCATCTGAATACTTCTCTGACAATTCCAAGCCATCTTAATTACTAGTTTTTTAAAAAACATTTTGATGCCTACAGGGCAAGTCCCTTCCATCTTATTCTTCTTGGCTATTCTTAATCTTTTGAATTTCCATATAAATTTTAGATTCAGCTTATCAAGTTCAAAAAATTAAGAAATAAATACACAAAGAAACAAAAGCTTCTCTTAGGATATAGTTCAGTTTGTAGATACACTATAAACTGAAGAGTCTATATAATACTGAGTCTTCCAATCCATGAATAAGGTTCTCTTTCTTTCTCTGTAATGGATGTGTACATCTTTTGTAAGGTTTATTTCTAGGTCACTAGCATTAAAAATATAAAGTATTCATATGCCAGTTCAGTGATTCGCTCTTCTGCTGAGTCCAATCTGCTACTAACCCACCTATTGAGTTTTTAAACTTCTATTATTCTATTTTTCAGTTCTAAGATTTCTATTTGGTTCATTTTTAATATAATCATATACCTAACATAATTCTCCACCTTGAACACATTAATCATAATCATTTTCAAGTCTCTGTCTGATAACTGGGTTACCTGAGGGTGGTGCCTGTTTCTAGTGTCTTTTTCCCCCACTCTATGCCCTATCTCTTGATGTACTTGATAATTTTAAATTGTATGCTTGACACTGTTCATGAATAATTACACAGATTTTATATACTATCTTCCCAAAGTTCACTCTATCTTATCACTGGCAGGTAAGTGTGGAAAATCATCTTAATATAAGCAGGGGCTGAGCTGATTCAAGGCTGGAGTTTTACAGGGCTCATTCTGCCTGAGTTCTCACTCACAGGGTGTGTTCCTCCAGCATGCCAATGAAGAATCTAGGGTATTTACTTCTACCCATCCTTCTTGATGAGGTTTCGAACTCCTACTGCTTCCACAACCTAAGACTGCTGAGAAGTTGGCTGTGTTTTTCAGAGGCTCTCTGCTTAGCTTTTTTTAACATTGTGTCTTTGAAATTTAGGAATTCAGCATATGTCTTGAGGGGGAAACTCAGATTATATCTGGCTCCCTTCTTTGTAGCTTCCTTTTCTCCTAAATTCTTGGCTCCTAAAATACTGAGTAGCTAGCAGACAGAACAAATGTTGTCTTTTGGGCTCTAGGAGACTGTTAGAAACTTTGCAGTCTTCTTTGCCTTTAGCTAAGGCCTTCTGCTCAGATTCTCAGCGTCTCACCTTGTACCAACAATCAGTAAATACTCTTAGGGAAAACTGACAGAAGTTGATTCATCTTTTTACAGTTTCCTTCTTCATAGAATCTTGGCCCTTCAAGTCCTAACTGCCTCACTGTTCTGCAAAGTGTTCCACAGATGTTGGTTCTACTTTGTTTGGCTTTTCTAGCAATATTTTGGATAGAAATTGTCAGAGCTAAACCATCAAAAGTTTATTCCTATTACTTCTTGATTGGAACATTTTGAGTAATGAGATTTGAACAGTTTCATAAATATATGCCAAAGAATACTTTTTAAAGTGTATTCCCCACATGTGAATTCTATCTATTCTTAAAGGTTCAACTCAAGCAAACAAAACAGTGACTGCATGTATTCTGTAAACTACCAAGCTCTATAAAAATACAAGACATGTTTCTTTCAAAAGCCTTTTTCAATTACCCAGCTCAGTGATTAGTGATCTTACATGAATTTATTCTCCTTTAATACTCCTTGAGTGTTAACATAAAGTAGATGCTAGTAAACAAAATATATAATACAACAAACTCACAGAATACCATTAATACTTACGTGCTTCCATTCATGTAGATAAGGAAGATATATTTTCCCATTAGCATCCACATGCTTTCCTGTTTTAATAGTCATTGAGCTAGTAGGCTTAACGAAACAGATAGGGGGATTATACGGATATGTATCCAGCAGCCACAGGCAGATTGGAATATTGTATGTATTACCTGAGAGAGAAAGAGAAACTTCAGTTACTCTATTTTTATTATTTTTCAATAATGGTTAAGTAGGTAAGCAAGAAAGAGTTACAACTAAGCAACACTTAAAAAAAAAATCACAACAAATATTTTATGTTTCAAAGTCTGTTTAAGATTAGCTTCTCAAATTTTCAGTTTGTAAAATACAAGAGCAGGATTTAGGAGGTAAGTGATCACTACTCTACCAGTGTGAGCTTACTGCTGTAAACAGATTATTCACATATTATCTTTTGGTTCAAGCCATACTTTATTATTTGACTTCTGTCACTTCAGTTACTAAAATTTCCTGGGAAGACCGGAGACAATGGCGTTCTACCAGAAAGGGATATACACTGGACTTGAAACTCCCGTGCCAAAAGTCAAGACTGTGTAAGATCTAACCCAAATGTCAAACAGATGCTGACTGTTTGGTCACAGCCTGACCAATGAATGGCTTTTCAGAGGTGGTTTCAAAATCAATGTCGTCATCTCCTTCTCTTTATGAAACAGAATCTCTCTCAGCTGAGAAATTTGCCTACATGTAATCAAAATGAACAGTGTTTCAAAGGATCCAATAGAGTTAATATACTGAACATAAATCAAAGACTTTTCTTACTAAGTTCAAAGCCCAATGTCCCAAGCAATTATCTGAATCACGTAGCAATTCAGATACATGTCCCCTTCTGAGAAAGTGTTACTTCATTAAAGTATATATACATACATTTCACTTGAAAAAAATCAGTAATGGGACTTTGGATTTATTTTTTTACTCAAAAGTACTTCTACAATGAACCCCCCCCAACACACACACAAAGGAGACATCTTAATACACAAAACATAACTTTATTTCCACCACCCAGAATTCTTTGCTTTGTGAAAATGATGCTTTCTCCAGAATTACTCAGGCTTAAGAACTGTGCCATATAAAAAAATGGTGAGGGAACAGAGGTTTAGTTTAGATAAAATGTACATAAAAAAGGGAATCCTTGTGCACTGTTGGTGGGAATATAAACTGGGGCAGCCACTGTGGAAAACAGTATAGAGATTCCTTAAAAATGAAAAACAGAACAAAATACGATTTGGCAATTCTACTTCTGAGTATTTATCTGAAGAAAGTTAAAATACTAATTTGGAAAGCTGCAACATTAGTTACAATAGCCAAGATATGGAAGCACCCTAAGTACCTACTGATAGATGAACGGATAAAGATGTGGTATACAGATACACAATGAAGTAGTACTGAGCCATAAAAAAAGAATGAAATCTTGCCATTTGTGACAACATGGATGGGCCCAGAGGGTGTTACGTTAACTGAAATAAGTCAAACAGAGAAAGACAAATAAAGTATGATTTCAGTTATAAGTGGAATTGAAAAGACAAAACAAATGAATAAAACTAGACAGAAACAGATTCATAGATTCAAAAAACAAACAGGCAGCTGCCAGAGGGGAGAAAGGTGTGGGGAGACAAGGAAGTGAAGGCGATCAAGAGGCTCAAACTTCCAGCTGCAGAATAAATGAATCACGGGTATGAAATGTATAGTTAGGGGAAAGTCAATAATTATGTAATGATTTGTATGGTGACAGATGGTAACTAGACTTATCATGATGATCACTTTGAAATGCATAGAAATATCAGATCACTATGCTGTGTAACAAAAAAACAGTGTTAGAGGTGAATTATCCTTCAAACATGCACAAATAAGCAAACACAGAAAAAGAGATCAGATTTGTGGTTATCAGAAGTGATGGCTGGGGGGAAGGGTGAATTATAGGAAGGTATCAAAAGGTACAAACTTCCAGATTATAAAATAAGTACTAGGAAAGTAATGTACCACATGATAAATGCCATGAACACTGCTTTTGTTATATATGAAAGTTAAGAGAGTACACATCACAAAGGAAAAATATTTTTTTTCTATTTCTCTAATTGTATCTATAAGGGATGATGGATGTTCATTAAACTTACTGTGGTAATTGTTTCTTGATGTATGAAATCAAATCATTACACTGTATACTTTAAACTTATCAATGCTATTATCAATTACATCTCAATAAAACTGGAAAAAAAATAATGCTTTTAATTATGTCTGCAAGAGTTTTCTGCCTCCTACTTTCACTCATACCTATTCACTCATATCAGAGCTTACTTCCTGAGGTAAAGGCAAAGTCAGCTATTCTGCATTTTACTCATACTTGCTCTATGAAATGCTGATGCGCAAGTGTTTTCTCCCTCTGAATGGTTGACTCATCCCTTAATAATAAGTTTGAACATCATTTCTTGGATGACCTTCCTATATGTTCCTGTTCTCCTCTATAATCTAACAGCACGTATTTTATTATTCTATAGCAGGTATAGAATAGTATAAATATCTATTTATTCCCCATTTCCTCTATTTCTGTATGTTCTTCCAGAGACAGTACATCTTTTATTTACCTTTGTATCCCTAGTCCTTAACCCCTATGCACAGCAGGTACTATATAAGATCAGTGGGAAAAAAAAAAAAGATCAGTGGGTAGATTACAGAGACACAGGCCTTAGCTAGTCACAAGAAACAATTAACCAACAAAAACAGAACAGCTGCTTATGAAGCTGAATGCTCCATTATCGCTTTAAGTATTCCACTAGAGGTGGCTGACTGGCTAAGAGATGTAATTATCCTTCATCAGCATTACAACCATAGATAATAGCTAATTTTGGTACCTCTTTATTATATACCAGTCTCTGAGCTAAATCCTTTACAATATATGTTATTACAAATTAATTATTCCTTGAGTTAGGACCATTATACAAATGCTATAGATGCCCACTACCACAAAGCTTGGAGAAGGAAACAGCAACCCACTCCAGTACTCTTGCCTGGAAAATCCCATGGACGGAGGAGCCTGGTAGGCTACAGTCCATGGGGTCGCAGAGTCGGACATGACTGAGCGACTTCACTCACTTCATACTTTATCACTGGAGAAGGAAATGGCAACCCACACCAGTATTCTTGCCTGGAGAATCCCATGGACAGAGGAGCCTGGTGGGCCATGGTAAATGGGGTCAGAGTCGGACACGACTGAAGTGACTAAGCACGCACCACAAAGCTAATCGATTACAAAGCGAGAACTAAAACCCTACTCTGCCCTGACTGTAAAACCTTTATCTTAGTCACTACATTACACAGCTTCCCATTGTCAGATAAGTTTGAATAGGATGGGAGACTGAACTAGGAGGCAGCCAAGATCCCTTTCTAGTACTAAGATTCTCTGAAACAAAACTCTCCCAGTGCTTCTAGGTACTTACTTGTTGATATAGCTTTGTAAGGAAGGTGGTGGTGGAAGGAAGCTTTGTAAGGAAGCTGAAAATATTAGGTGCTGCTGCCAAATGAACTTCAATTAGAAGTTAAAATTTCTATATTATCATGAAAGTCATGAGAAAGCAAGCTTAATTTACTTACAATTCTTTGGCAACTAAGTATGAATTAAAATGCATCTATGAAAAATAAATCACATAAGACATTTACCTCTATAAGGCACAGGAATTGTTCCAGTAAGGTTCATTAGTTCCCTGGAACTGCCATCATTAAAAACTGAAAGGTGAGAATATTGAGTTAATCAATAAGCATTTTGACAGATACTCTTATATAAGTTATTCTTTCAGAAACAATGGCTACAATGCACTAGTACTCTTTAAACGGACAAGCTTGCTAATGTTCAAACATTTTGTCCAATTACCGATTATCCTTCGTTAATTTACTTAATGGGATCAGCTTTTGAATGAGTAAAGACACTATGAATTACTTAGGAAAATATATGTGAATGCTATAGTATCAATAAATAAGAGCTCTGGGTCTTCAACCAACATGATTATAAGATTACTTAAAAATCACTATTAATTGCTGCCCTGCTGGCTCAGATGATAAAGAATCTACCTGCAATGCAGGAGACCTGGATTCGATCCCTGGGTCAGGAAGATTGCCTGGAAAAGGGAATGGCTACCCATTTCAGTATTCTTGCCTGGAGAATTCCATGGACAGAGGAGCCTGGTGGACTACAGTCCATGGGGTTGCAGAGTGGGACACGACTGAGCAACTGATGCTTTCACTTCCACAAATATTAACCTAATAGCATTAAATTTTAGATTTCTCAGATGTTCACTCCCACTCACTGTCATTTTCAATCCCAATGTAGCATCCCACAGTAATAAAAAGGAAAAAAGATTTTCAGAAATATGGACATCTTCTTTTAATACAAGTATTTCTCACATCACACAAGTTTTCCTATCTGTAATTGACTGAATAACTAGGGCACATAATCTGTATTCCATGAATAGCTATTATTTGCAACAATTTGGAATTAACACTGTACTATATGGGAAAAGGCTATAATATACAGTACAAGAATACAGAACTATACTGTTGACCTCAGTTCCTTTATCTACTATTGACACTTACAGCCTGTGATATAATTTACTCTGATTTTGTGTTTTAAAAAGACTACATTAAATTCTAGGTTTATATTTACTCTAAAAGCATGTTGATGACAATGGTTTAGACTTGGTCCAGTCACACAAAGCTATATAAGATGTGTTCAATGAGGCTGCAGTCTTTGTCAATTTTGATCATTTATTCTTTCAGTATTCAATAAAAACTACACACTTACCATAACTTTCTAGCCTTAGTCACTTAATTCCCCCAGAGAAGCCATTTTAAAAGTAACTCTAACTTTGGAAAGATGAGTTTTCTTGCAGATCTAAATACCACAGTGCAGTATGTGGACAGGAGGGAGAACTGTGTCCTAATGTGGGAGAGGACTTCTGGTTCATGACTGTTGTTCAGGAAATTCAGGACTGATTCCCCCTCTGTTGCCTCCCACCTCTCCACCAGGCTCCTGTTTACAAAGCCCTTGGGGTGAGTGGAGTTCAGAGCCAGAGTCTCAGCTACAAATTTCGGCTCTTTGCACTCACTGCAGGGGCCTCACAACAGGCACACGGCAGCATGGTTTCCCTTAGCCCTGGCACACTGTCCCCAAGGAGACAGGGTAGGAGAGATTATGTTAGGATTGGTGGGGCCAAAAAGACTATTAAAAAACACCTGGAGAAAGTGTTTTCATTGTCATTTCTAACTTAAATCACAACTTCATCTCAATAGAGGGTGGACACAAACCGTCACCTAACACACTCTACAGAATTAAGGACAACAGTTTTTAAGTGTTTTCTTCATCTATAAAATGAAAAGAATAGTCTAGAATATTTTACAAAATGTGTTCCTAAGAATATAAAGAGATGCTCTAGAAAGAAAAAACGGTTCACTAATTAACTCTAGAATATACTGAACAATGTATTATCTTCTCTCCCCTCTTGGTGAGACAAAATACATAAACATATTACAGGTTCTGAGAAATCTTGCTTCAAAGAAATTCATTTAATTTTGTTTAACCTGTAAGTATTCAAACTTAACCACAGAATCCCCTCCATCTCCCCACCCACAAAGCAACATTCTTCACAACTACTGATACTATTTCTGGAAATGATGGACTAAACTATCTGTAACATTTGGTCTAAATTAGCACTGTTTTTGTTATAGTATTTTAAAACTTAAAATTACTAAACAAATATAAGATGTTATTAAATCTTGTAATTTCCTATCCCCCCAACACCATTTTTAGGTGAAGGCTCAGTCCTATAATGGGAAAAACCAACAGACTTAAAAGGAAAACAGAAAACCTACAATTATTAACAAAAAGAGTAAAATCTGACTTGATATTTTTATACATAAACTCACCATATGAATCCAATACAGGTTTGAGATCTTTGTATAAAGTAATAACGTTAACAGTTTCACGTACAGTTAGGTCTCTGTATTTGTACTGAAAAGGAAAATAAAAAATTTAGTTTAAAACCAATGCACAAATTATACTGCTAGTTTAATTTTTTTAAAACTGTTTTCTTAACAGCACTTTCCTTTAAAGTATAATGGTTCTGACTAATCAATAACAATTAAAGAAAGACTGAAAGAACCTCAGTAGCTTTCTCTGTCACCTCTTCAAACCTTTACCTTCATTTTAGCTCTTTTCCCAATTTAAAATATGGTCTCCACCAAATCAAATCTCATTGTCAAAGACCTACCTCATATCTCTTTCCCTATCAATGAATTCTTTTCCAGACTTCCCTTTAGCCCATATGGATCGCTCCCGCTCCAGCATTTACTGTCAATACCAACTCTTTCGCACTTTATCATGTTCTGTATTATATTCTCATACCCCTGCCTTGTACCACTCAAGTCCAGGAAACCTAGGAACCTTGCTTTCAGCTCTGAGCAAACTAGGAAACCAGGAAATGGAAATCCCCATGTGTTCACAACACCCTGAAGCTCCACTCATGCACACAAAGCTTTCTATCAGCTTTTAGTGCTTCTCTCTTAAAAAGAACAGTCAGCTATCCCAAAAACAAAGTCTCCAAGAAGCATGTCACAGACCTAAACAAACAGAAGAGGAGGAACTAAAAATAAAAATGGGTGCTCCCTGATAGCTTTGTTGGTAAAAAATCTGCCTGCAATGCAGGAGACCCCGGTTTGATTCCTGGGTCAGGAAGATCCGCTGGAGAAGGAATAGGCTACCCACTCCAGTATTCTTGGCCTTCCCTTGTGGCTCAGCTGGCAAAGAATCCCCCTGCAATGCAGGAGACCTGGGTTCGATCTCTGGGTTAGGAAGATCCCCTGGAGAAGGGAAAGGCTGCTCACTCCAGCATCCTGGCCTGGAGAATTCCATGGAATGTATAGTCCATGTATGTCGCAGAGTTGGACAGGACTGAGCAACTTTCACTTTTAAGAATAAAAATGCAAGGAACAGAAGAAAACTTCAAAAACAATCAGCATTAAAAATTTCAAAGAAAGAAGAAATGAAATATTGTAGCAATGAAATAAGAACTCTCAGAAAAGAAAGGACTCTTAAGACATTTAAAAAAAAAAAAAAGGAGAAACAAAACATTTTCTTTCCTCTTCTCTGTGTCTGCCCCTTCTCAGCGTTTTTGCTGGTTCTTTCTCTTCTCCTAACCTTTGATCTTAATATCACTGAGCCCCAGAGCTCAGTCCTTGGTCCTCTTCTTACTGAGGTGCTGACCTCCATGCATGGCTTAAAATACCATTTATACACTGATAACTTCCAAATTTAAAAATTCCACTTTCCTGAATTCCAGACATGTATATCCAATTTGATATCTCCACTTTGATATCTAATGAAAGTCAAACATAACGTGATCAAATTGAATCCTTTGTCTTCCCTCCAATTCTATACCTCTTGCTGCTGCTGCTAAGTCACTTCAGTCGTGTCCAACTCTGTGCGAACCCATAGACAGCAGCCCATCAGGCTCCCCCATCCCTGAGATTCTCCAGGCAAGAACACTGGAGTGGGTTGCCATTTCCTTCTCCAGTGCATGAAAGTGAAAAGTGAAAGTGAAGTCACTCAGTCGTATCCGACTCTTCAAGAACCCAGGGACTGCAGCCTACCCAGGCTCCTCCATCCATGGGATTTTCCAGGCATGAGTACTGGAGTGGGTTGCCATAGCCTTCTCCATCTACAACTCTTACATTCTTCCACATCCATATCCTTCTAGATGCTCAGCAAAAAAACTTCGACATTATCCTGGATGCTTTGGTTTCCTACACATCCACAGTGAGTCAGTCTGTCAGAAAATTCTTAGTTCTACCTTCAAAAATCTCCAGCATCTGATCACTTCTCACTACCTTCATAGCCACACTTAGGTTATTATTATACAACAGCTTTTTTAGAGGTGGCTATCCCTCCACTCTACTGAACCCCCTATGGTCTAGCCTCAGTACAGCAGCTTGAGCTATACTGTTAAAACAGCCCCACCACACTGCAAGGACATGCCAAAACGCTGACGGTGGCCTGCAAGACCCTCCAAAATCTACCACTCCTTTATTTAGCAGCACTGTTTCCCTTTCCTCACTCCAGTCCAACCCTTTTAGGTTCCTTTGCTGTTTCTCTATCATGCATGACGAGGGCCCTTGAGCTTGTTTTTCCTTCTTCCTGGAATGTTCTTACTCCAGACTGCTCCAGTTTGCTTCCTCACTGCTTTCAGGGTCTCTGATCAAACAGACCTCAGGAAGGCCTTCCTTTACTGTCTATAAAACTGCAACCTATCTTATCCTCACATTTGAGAACTATCGCCCTTTCTTGCTTTACTTTTCTCCAAAGCACTTAACATCCTCCAACATGTTACTTAATTAACTTACTGAGTTGTTCATTCCTTCTATGAGAATTTAAGTTCCACAGGTATAGAGTTTTCTATCTGTTCACTATTGTATCCCTAGAATCTAATAAAACAATGTGAAGTGCATTACAATCGTTAATGTATCAGCTCTCTCCTAACTAGCTGGTAGTGACTCTACCGACAGGAATGCTGTTACATACAGCATGAAAGAATACAGATAGTTGTCTGTATGAAAAATCTAAATAATTTGTGTAAAGCAAGATGGACCAACAGTATAGATATACCGCTCTTAATTACAAAGATGATGACAGAGGAGGATGTTAAACTAAAAGCTATATTTAAGTTGGAAGCTAAAAGTTGCTCCAAGGAAAAAAATAACGGTAGTAATATATAAAAAGATAATATAATGTTGTATGTCAATTATACTTCAAAAAATATATAAGTCAAAGCAGGTAGCCCAAAGTAATATGATGGGTGATGAAGTCCCACAATCAGATAAGAGAAAAGGACCATCACCCTAGCAATGCGTCCCAGGTCGTGGCGACCAATTCCTTCATTGGGCCACATCCAACTGAAAGGATAACAACTGAAGCTAATCCTCCACCAGAAGGAAAAAACTCCACAAAGAGCTTCTATTATCCTACTTACTACTCCTACATATCTACATATCTATCTATGAACAAGCTGGACAGAAAAAATGCCAGTAAAAAGAAGTGACATCACCACTTGTAAGAGACTCAGTTTTTCAGGTATTGGGTCAAGAACCAGATGAGAGACAAATGTTCTCTCCCACCTCTGCTCTATGTCCTTTCTTATAAAAAATTATTTATTTTTAATTGAAGGATAACTGCTTTACAGTATTGTGCTGGCTTCCACCAAACTATGTCCTTTTTTGCTCTGAGGATATAAAGATGGAGGGAGGAGACGGCAGGTGTAGGTACAGAATATCTTCTAAAGATGTCTTGCCTCTGTCTTCGAAGGCAGGTTCCTCAAGAGAAAGTTTAGGAAACTTAATTACGGTCTCTAAAATTCCAAACCAATATTTGAATACTCTTGTCCTTATATAGGTACTTTGATACACATACATGAAGGAATAAACTTGAAGGGCAATGTAATCAATTAAGATTTTTTAAAATGGTATGGAACAGACACCCTTCAGTTACATAGTATATAAAATAACATACTTCGAAAAATTAAATGCTGCAACATAGATCCAGGCCACAGTTTTCTAAGGCTCCCTAAAACTTCCTCTGCAATTAAAGATAAGTTTACTCTATCAAAAGAAAATCAACTATATTTTAATTAGAAAAAAAGAAAATCAGAAGCCTAGAAGATATGATTAGAAAAATCAAAGAGTAGCTTTATTTCAAAAACCATCAATTTCTCTTTAGAGATTATTTGCTCTTCAATCAAAGACTATAGGGATGATTTTACTGGGTGAAAAAGTATATTTTCAGAGAAATAAGTTTACACATAATAATGTGTTTTAATAATACTGAAAGTTGTTTTAAACTATTTCACTTTCTACCACTCTTATTTTGACAAAAATATCTAAAGCTAAACCTGTTTAACTGGAGAATATTCAACTCTCAACCGTTTCACATACATCTTATTCCCATTAATTAGCTTTGATAAATTGAAAAAAAACACAAAGCAACAAACCAAAAAGCACCCAATTCACTCTGGTATCAGGTGCCATATTTTTAGTTGTTAAACTAATTCACAGCTTTAAATACAAAATGCCTACAGGCTTTTTTAAAAAAGGGAAAAAACCAAAAAACAAACCCACACCAGTCTTGAAATGTTTAGATTAAAAATTTCAAAGTAAATAAACTGGCTTTATAAGCAACATAAAATTAAAAGGGAGTCTGAGCAAATCAAAGACCCTGGAATGGTAACGGAATTCTATTTCACCCGAGGTAATGAGCTTCTCAGGACGTTTCCATTTATAATTGAGCCAATTCAACCAACCGCGGGGTGGGCTATTGAGCTGCGTGAAGAATACAAACTGAAAAGGACACCACCTCAGGAAGCCGGGAGGGAAGGGCGAATAAGAATGAAGATCCCTGCATTGGGACATGAAGGAAGGGGTGCCCAAGACCGAGTTTTAAGTACAACCCCCTCCTTCTGTTGATGAAAACTATGCTGCCCCACAGACTGCTCCAAACTCTCTCTCCGAAAAGAGGAGGGCGGGCGGCAGGTGGCAGGCGGCAGGCGGCCTCGGCTCCGCTCCATTGTTGACCGTCGCCGCCTCCCGCCGGCCCCGGCCCGGGGACTCCGGCCCCGGGCGACAGGCATCCTGGCGCGGGCGGCAGCAGAGGTGGCCAAGGGGAGGCCCGGGACTTCGGGCCGGCCTGGGGGGCTCGTTGGGCTGGTCGGGCAGGCCCTGGCGGCGCGGGGGGGAGTGGTGGGTGTGCGCCGAGAGGACAGCGCGCCGCAGCCTCACCTTGGACACCATTTTCTTGAGCTGGCTCTCCGACCCCGCCATGGCCGCCGCCTCGCGACTCCGGTCCCTGCTGGCAGAGGGTCAGCCGCTCCGGGGCCGCCCGAGGCCGCCCCACACAACCGCACACAGACGAGCCAGCCCCCCACCCCCCCGCCTCTAGCAACAGGAAGTCTGCCTCCACGCCAGCGCTTCCGCTTCCCTTACGTCACTTCCGAGGTCGGCCGTGGTTAGGGGTTGACGGCCTAGTTCCGGTCCGGGGAAACCCGTTCCGAGGGTGGAGTTGCTGAGCCGGGATAATAAGATCGGCAGCTCTTTCACAGTTGCCCTCACACTAAAAGAGCAGGTGCAGGGAGGGTAAGAAGTAGGATTGCCTTTCCGGTGAGCTTTAATGACTGATGCGTCAAGTGGGAAGACTGGACTGGAGTCAGAAAACTCTTCTGCCACTGACTTAGCCTTCTGATAATTGCAGGCAAGTGCACGGCTGGCTCGGGCTTGTTTTTCCAACTCCGAGAGGAAAGGCTTGCATTAGGCGATGCCCAGGGTCTCTCTGGTTATCAGGTTGTTTTTCATTTTTAAGCTTCATATTATATTCACAAGGGCAAAGTGCAGAGATCTCATTTCACAGGAAGTCAGGCAGTAATTTCTTTATAAGAGACCATTCGCTTAGGTCAGAACTCCACTGTGCCCGACATGGATGATAATACAGGCTAACTTCTTCCTTAGACTTGGTGTGTGTACCATCCTGTCCACTATCAAAATCCAAGTCTTTGAAATCAGGCTCAGCTTAAGATCCTCATGGTCTTGTACAGTGCAAGAGTAGGTACTTTTTTTTTTTTTAATTTGACAGAATTTTTATTTCACAGCACCCTAATATTGATGAAAGTGAACAGGCAGTTGAAAATGGTGCTCTGAAGTTCTGACATGATACTTAACAGCTCTAAGTTGCTAGGTTACAAGCAAGGTGTACACAGATGGAAATGAACAAGTAATATAAAAAGTTTAGGTAGATAGGAGATTCATATTTTATTTCTCCACTGACATATTTACAGTTGAATATAAATTAAAGGCCTGCTTGCACACCAAACCCAGGTCCTTTTGGTGGTTCAAAGAGGTAAGACCTCCAGCTGGCTCACAGGAGAAGCGTCCACTCCTTGGCCCAGGTTTTGGGATTTTGCCAGCCTTGAGTTCATCAATAATTTCTTCAATATCCTTAGGTGTCAGATCCTCATAGTAGTCATTTATTTGAACCATTGGTGCATTTACACAGGCCCCTAAACATTCCACTTATATAAGAGTGAAAAGTTTGTCAGGTGTAGTCTCCAACCTTTATTCCAAGTTTTTTCTGAATGGCCTCCAGTATCCTGTTGGAGTTTCGGAGCATGCAAGGCGTAGTAGAGAAGACTTGAATGTGATATAACTGGCTTTCAATTATACATTATATAAAAAGTTGCTACTTCATACACTCTCATTGGAGGTTCTTGTAAAATTTCTGCAACCTTGTTCATAGCAGAGATGGGCAGCCATCCATTCTGTCTCTGGGCTAAATCCAGAACTGGAAGCACAGCTGCTGCCTTATGCCCTTCTGGGAAGTTTTTCAAAATGGCCTCTATCCTCTTACAGTTTTCTGGTGTGAAATCAAATGGAGTTGCTGGGTTATTCTCAGGAGTATCTCTGTGCACAAATAAGCCTCCTCCAGCTCCATTCTGAACAGCTGTCTCAGGCAAATTTCTTGTCTTCCCCAGTGGGCGCCGCGGCTGGCCCAACTGCGGGCCTTTGGGCCTCACTGGGCGTGGTCCCGAGCGGTCGGCACGCAGGGCGTGCGCGCTCAAGAGTAGGTACTCTGAACTGAATTTCTACTACCCATAAAAGTTCCTCATGGTCATTTATATTAGTCATTATTGCACCTCACTACCGGTTTTGTAAGTACAATGCCATTCAGGGCACTTGGGTTTGAGGGGGTGTGAAGTATGATTATTTGGATAATTTTAGCATCGTGGTACTGAGGAACAGGCTGTAGTATTAATTTTCTTCTAAATTGTTATCTAAATGAAGGTCACAGAAACAAAGAGGGCCTAACTGAAGATACGCGAAAGCATCATTACATATTGTTGCAAACACACACACATAAAATATTCTTTTCTAATAGGTATCTTTCTTTGGACACTATATACTAGTTAAGCATACAGCTTCAGTCAAATCAAACTATAGGACAGTCTGTCCTTCCCTGTACCTCTTCTTTGTCACTCAAAAATATATGGTTTTCAAGCTATTCTTAAAGACACAGCTTATTAGCCAGAAGCACCTTCAATTAGAGCAACTCTGCTTTTATCAATTGGAAGAATGTAGATTATATGTTAAAATATATAGGCTTTGTTAAAAATAATTTTTAAAAGTTTGAAAACAACAAAATTCATTCTGTTCATTTTGCAATTAAGCCACTTAAAATGAAGTAACTAAATATCCTGGGGACTTATGAATCATATGAAAGAATCTTTCTCTTCAATCTGAATAAATTTCCTTCCACTCAATAAATTAGGAATCTCCTGGTAATTTTCAAGTCAAAATTTATTTTATTCATTATTCTTGATATTTAAGAATAATTATTTGATACAATGTAAGTTGGAAAATAAAATATTTATGTGTTACAATATCAAAGAAGTATTTTAATCCAAGCCCCATTAAAAACCATAACAAGTAGAGAGAATGCATGATTTTGGAAAGATGAAAAAAAAAAATGAAGGTTAACAGAAACATCATGAATGTCAAATTATCACCAAGTCACACTGAGATGGTGGTGGTACTACTTAACTTATATGTGATTTATAATACTCAACACTCAAGAAAATATGTGATAGAATTACTTCTATGTTGTGGGTTTCTGCAGGGCAAGGACTATAACTATTCATCTTTTTTTCTTTTTCTTTTTTGCTTTTTTATTCCCTCCCCCCACCCCCCCAATTTTTTATTATTCACCTTTGACTACTCATTCTAACACAGTTCTTGGAGTAACAGTACAGTCAGTAAATATTGTACTGACATGTTCTTTTTATAATGCAGTTAATTCTTAGCAATTCCTCTATTTATATAGTATCTTGTAATTAGGTTATTGTTCAAGAGCATAATTAGGTATCTGGTATTAGAAAAGGCTAGTATAAAAACACAAGTAATGGTCCTTTTAGTTTTACTTTCCTATTTCATACAAAAGGACAGTGAGGATACACTGTTACAGTTAACACCAAAATAACCTATTCATGTAGTGAAATTACACAGAACTAATGCTCATTTCTTCAAATGTCCAATGTTTTTAGACCTTCCCAAGCATATTAAATACTTTTCTTTTTTCTTAAACATGGAACATTGAATAAATTTCACCTTTCCTTTATGATTTAAGCTCATCATTATAAGCATCCATTATTATGCTAAATCAGCATTAGTTTAACTACTTCTCTGCCTAAAATGTCTGCTCTTATAATCCATTGGCTTACATCTCACTGACCAGGTTTAGGTTCACCTATAATATGTTTTCAAAGCACCTGGGACATCTTCATATTACAGTACCACACTTGGAATTGTATATTTATTTGTGAGATTTGTCCCTGTACTAGATTATATGCACCACGGGGGCCTGTACCTAGTCCAGGGTTTGCTTACCATTGTATCTGCAGTGCCTAATACGGCACTTGGTGCATAGCAGGCTCCAAGTCTAGACTATCTGAATGACTAAATAACTAAACACTTACTTCAGTGCATACAGCTCGCCTCCCAAGCTATTTGATAAGGGAAGTCAAAGAATCAGTGTTTCTAAAAAATAATGTTGAAGAAAAAAAGCCCCTACATGAAGAGTATAACAGTACAGACCCCAGCTTTAGGGTCTTGTTTTAACTATTTTGACTCTTAGGCTTTTTTCCTCTTCTAGAGTTTAGAAAAAGTAGAGGTTGTATGGATAAGTGTCCCTTAGTCATGAGATTTTGGCCATTAAACCTCAATTTCCTCCTCTACAAAATTATGGTAATAGTCCCTACCCCAGTGCGTTACTGTGAGGATTAATAAATAATCCTGAGGAGTAAAACAATAAAGTGCTTATCACATTGCCTGAAATATTGGAAGTGTTGATGCTAGCTGCTATTAGTTATGTGTCACATTCCTAATATGCTGTCTTTCACGTATGAAGATGTTATTTACCCATCACCAAAGTGTATGCACCCTGAATCATTTCTTCAGTAGTTAAAAGATGCACCCTGAATCATTTCTTCAGGAGTAGTTAAAGGATGCACCATGAATCATTTCTTCAGGAGTAGTTAAAGAATATGCTCAGAACAATCAGCCCATTCAACCTCTTCCCAATAAGACCAATGCCTTTACAAAAGCCTCATATATTAGCTTTAAAGTAAAGGCTTGGCTTTCATTCATAACCTATTTCCACTAAAAATATGCATGTCTCTATGGCTCTACTTATGGCACGGTGTGTTCTTGAGATGCTGGAAATCTTATATAGCCCAGAAGAGATGATAGAAAACTGCAGAAAGGACAGTCCTGCTGGATATTAAACTACACTTCTTGTTCATATATTTAAAATTTTCATTTTCCTTTTTACTATATTAAAGTATGTGTACAAGAAAAAAAAGTATGTATACAGTTCTTTTCCATTTTCTGGTAGCTAATTTGAAGAGGGAAAACAAAATGCTTTATTGTTTATTATTATGCTTTTTACCAACATTATTTTAAAGAAGAATTGTAAATAGCGTAAACTGGATCCTTTAATGTAGAGCTAGCACAGATTTTGAAACACATACTGGGCCTTCAGCTTATGATGTTTATTGTAACTGTTAAAGGGTAATTTTCTTGTAAAAAGGTATGATTTTTAAAATATTCCCAAAGTGCTGAATGTGCTAATTGAGGATATGTAATTTTTAAATTATGTATATCACAGATGAATGTTTATCTCTGCTTAGGTTTAAAGAACAGTACAGATGATCTCAAGAACAGAGAAAATTAGATTTTCTTCCTTCTCATCTAACTACCTAAGGATTTAAATTAAAAAGCCAACCAAGAACCACTGACCTTAACCAAGCAGTTTGTAAGGATAAATAATAAGATACAGAAGTTCTCCACCCTCTATATATGTGTTGGCAAAATTAGACCACCTTTCCTTTCAGGTAACTCTGAGCTTTAGAATCAAAGTTTTAACTGTTGCTGGAGACCATGGATGGAGGATGCACTGCTTTGGAGTTTCCCAGTCACTGTTTCTTCTTTCACTGTGGTCTTGATGACTTCAGACACTCCACTAGTTCCAAGGATGCAAGGCAAACTTAAAAACACTTCACTATTTATATCATAATATCCCTGAAAAGAAAAAAATTTGGATTAGAGCTGAATCACTGCAAAAAAGTTAATACCATAAATATGGGTATTTTCTTCCTTTTCTGGTCCTAGCACTACAAAGTGATACAAGCTGAATTTTTTAAAAAATTTGTTCATTTATTTTCTAAACTCCAGTTACTGTTCCAGAAAATTTTTATGAGATGGGAAGAATTTGGAAGAACTACTTCCCTTTATGGGGAAGTAAGCTAGCACCCTGCAATATGGGTAACAAGCTGGAGGTAAAGAAAAAAGACTGTCATTGGTTTGTTGCCTTGAGCACAGAGGGGAAAGCCCAGGGACATAGTGGAAGCAGGTGACCTGTTGTGTCCCAGGGACTAACTTTCTGAGCTCCCTATTCAAAGCTGGCTTTATTCCATTAACGCTGCTGCTCCTGCATCGAACAGGTATACTCTGCGTGTCTGTCCTCCCCTCTCTGTATTTCACTGTCCCCATTCCCCCTCCTGGACATGGGGAAGGTCAGCACTGAAAGGGTTAAGCAGCAGGCTTTGGTTCATGGTTTTAACTCCTTGGTAAACTAAATTAGGCAATGCCAAAGGCTGTGGATTTGATCCTTGGAGGAAATGTGGGCCTTACAAAATGGGAGAGTAAATTCTGAAGAGTTTTATTGAAGAAATAAAAGATATTTTTTCTATCTTTCTTCCTGGAGACCCTCACTTTCATAACTTTGTTCCTGTTGGTTTAGTTAAACATGGAAAGTCAAGATGTTGTGTCCACCTGCCTTGGAGCAGACCCATGTCTGAACTTTTTCAAATCCTTGAGGCATTTAACTTGAAGGATCTGAAACATGCAAGCATAGGTTACATAGTTCAGATTTATGTTCTACTGGAGTAAGTTTTTCTTTAATGTCTGAAAGCATAGTTTTATGGTAGACCTTTTTGGGAAGAACCCAGTATTATCTAAAATTATTGGCAAAGTTAAATGTATTTTACATAAGAAAGTTTTTAGAATGTTGAGAAGTAACTGAAAAAAGAGTGATGAGTAAATGTTTAGGCTGAGATAATTTATTTCAATAAATCTTTCAAAAGCCTTATTTTAAAATGCTGTTAATAAATTTCTGTGATGTTTTTTTTTTTAATTTGTTTTCCTGAGACCATAGCTATTTGTTTTTATTGTAAAACAATAATAATAATAAAGCAAACTCTCAAAAAAAAGATTGTTAGAGTGGATTCCCATGGGAAGGGCTTAACATGGGCTCTGAGTACAGTAAAATTTGGTAACCTATTTTCAGTTTTCCCTTCCATGTTTTATTTCCCTTCCAGTATTCCTAAGTTTTTGCTAATATTTGGTTAAGCATTTGTGCCTCATCTTAGCTGTGCTTTAGAGACTTTATACTTGGAATAAAGCAGTAAAGGACAAATTGAACTGGAGAAACAGACTGATGACCAGCTAAGACCAGTTGGCATGTCAGCCTGGGGTGACCTGGCTGGCTGAGGAGATAAATGACAACCAGAAGTTTATGGAATATATAAATGCTTTCTGGGAATTCCAAAAATTAATGGGGGTGAAGGGCAACCTGGTAGAAGTCCAGACTTCCCATAGCCAAGCAAGATATGGGTTAGACCAAACTATCTTCTCCCATGTGTTACTCTAAAAGCTGGTGATACTGAAGACACCAAATTACAGTGTGAACAGCACTTTTTTTGTTATATTAATACTATAAATACTTAAAACTATGATGAGAGAATAGCAATTACCTTTGCTAAAACTGATACAGAATGTACTTTCTTTTTATCATTCACAATACTGTCAAGCAGGTCAGCTACTGATAGTCCAACAGACCATGATCTTTGACCTTTTACCCTTAATAGTTCCATGGCCCTAGGTTATAAAAAACAAAACAGACAAATCATGATTTCAGAAAATGTACAACATATGTATGTTTAGTTTTAGCTTATGTATAAGGTATTAGTTAGATATTTTTATGCCACAGAGGAGTTATGTAATTGTGAGGAAAACCAGCAGATAGCCCAGTAATTAAGCTTTTCTTAAAGTATTAGGCAGTCCACAGTGAGTCAATACAGATGGCCTAATAATATAAAAAGATGCTTACCACCACTAATATGGTGGTAAATATGAGCTAAAACAATAAATACATCAATTTTGCCCATCAAAATTGGCAAAGAATAAAAAGACTAATAGGCTTCCCTGGTGGCTCAGCTGGTAAATCTGCCTGCAATTCAGGAGACCTGGGTTCAATACCCCTGGGTTGGGAAGATCCCCTGGAGGAGGGAAAGGCTACCCATTCCAGTATTCTGGCCTGGAGAATTCCATGGACTGTATAGTCCATGGGGTTGCAAAGAGTCGGACATGACTGAGCGACTTTCACAAAAAGACTGATAACGACTTTTGCAGAAGCTACAGAGAAACTGGCATTTCTGTCACTGCTGTTCAGAGTGCAAAATTATTCAAGTTTTTAAGAGGAAGATTTGGCAACACCTGATCTAGAAATTACTCTTCTAGGAATTTGTCCTATAGCACTATGCTCAACTGTGCAAAGATATACATGTAAGTATGTTTGCTTTGTTGAATACAGAAAAAATTTTGGAAACAATTCATCCAAAGAGGACTTGTTAAATAGATCACTACCAAATGTAGCACCATATAGCTCTTGACAAGAACATAAAGTACATTTATGTGTACAATATGGGGAAATATCCAACATTTATTATTAAGGAAATACAGCAAGTTGCAAGATAATATGAATAGCATAGATTTATTATAAAAACAACAATAATGATGATAATCCTTGCAGAAGCATGAGAAACCAACGTTTGGATACATGGACGCTAAATTGTTAACAGCAGTTGTTTCTGGAGAATGGAATTACCCCTGATTTTCACTTTTGACTTTAGCTACTCTGCAGTAGCTAAAGCTTATCTTTGCTGTACACCAGAAACTGACACAACACTGTAGATCCACTATACTTCAATTAAAACACAAAGTTTTGTGATCGCATACGTTCTTTTTGTAACTAATTAAAAATTATACAAATCAAACAAACATGTTTGATTCATTCCTCTTGAAAGCTATAAATGCAGGATTATATAGAGAAGCAGATTAGAATGGATTATACAACATACTACTATTCTCAATATGAGACTATTCTTTCCAGTTGTTACAGTCTAAAAACCATAAACTGAAGGTTTAAAAACCTAAAATCATCTGAATCAGAATTCAGGAAAGGATGTTATATTAAGAGACAGTAAAACAACAAATGGCATGAAAATACATAGTATGTAGAGTCCAACCTATGGGGTCAAGACCCCTAGAAGGCCTCTGAACAAACACAAAAGATTCAAGGATCTGTGCATTACACTTGGTTGCTGCCTGAAATTATAATGGGGGTTATCCATTCACATTAGACTAATTTCCAAATATATTTTAACTATGATTAATAAATACATATTGATTTTTAAGTGGTATGGGCCAATTCTCTACCTTTAAGAAAATAGCCAATATCCTCAGATACAGGATCCTATATCCTAAATATAGAAGTGGTAAATCACTGCCTACAAATAAGGAGGCTATTCCACCCTTTAAAAAGTCAACTGCATATCTAAATATTAGGCTTGCAAAACACTCTTGGATCTACTTTGAGGTAAGAAATCAAAGAATAGAAAATACTGCTCCCATGCATTCTGGATTTGTCCATACTAGTTAGTTTTGTTTGCAGAAGCCTGGTAAGTACATGCCATGCAAACAGCCATTATGTTAGCTATGAATTGTATGGTTTTTAGTTGGATACATGCAAATCTACATTCAGCGTTACCTATTGGACAGCTGCATCTGAGAGTCATGATTTGTTACTTCCTCTTGGCCACTCCATATGGGCACTAAAAATTAAATGAAAAATTGATTATTATCTTGTCAATAACTCTCTTAGGAGTAATGTGATAAAGGATCATTCGCAGTCAAGGGTACCTGTATCAAACTTCATGAATATTTCCCCCCTTCTGGTTAGTTACATACTTCCACTGGCGGCACTAACTGTGCTGTACTGACTGCCTGGGGTGAGAAGACATGGAGCCGTAGTTCCCTCAAAACATGATCCCAGAGTCTACTTGCAGCCCGTTACCTGTTCTCTCTCAACAACACTGGGCCATTTTACTGACTGAGTAGAAAGACTTTCTCAGCAGGCAGTGTAGAATAGGCTCCCACGTGCTGTAAGCCCTTGGCATTTGCTCCCCTGGGAACCACACAGACTAATTTCTATCACCAGATGACGAATAATTTGGTTTCCTACAGCTTCCCTGGTAGCTCAGCTGGTAAAGAATCTGCCTGCAGTGCAGGAGATCCCTGTTTGATTCCTGGGTCGGGAAGATCCCCTGGAGAAGGAATAGGCTACATACTCCAGTATTCCTGGGCTTCCCTGGTGGCTCAGGTGGTAAAGAATCTGCCTGCAATGCGCGAGACCTAGGTTCGCTGCTTGGGTTGGGAAGATCCCCTGGAGGAGGGCATGGCAACCTACTCTAGTGTTCTTGCCTGGAGAATCCCCATGGACAGAGGAGCCTGGTGGGCTACAGTCCACGGGGTCGCAGAGAGCCAGATACGATTGAGCGACTAAGCGCACACACTCTGGACGAGACTCCACGACTGTTAAGAGAGCAGGGTCCTGTTTTCTAAGAGTATATTTGGGTTTTCCATTTCCTCTCACTACACCATTTATAAAATCAATTTAAAAACTCAAAGCTATACATGTGAAATAGATATTTATACCATACTTTAATACGAAATTTAAAGTAACACTCTGAAACCTTTTTAATAGTCATTGATTTCTCATCACTGTGAAGACATTCTTTAATACAAATCTTTGGGTAGGCAAAATAGAAATACACTCAGATATGTAAGACATATTTTACACTTAACAAGTCTTCTTTTTCTTGTTTTATTTTTTTGCTGCACCGTGCAGCTTGTAGGATCTTAGTTCCCTGACCAGGGACTGAAACCCGGCCCCGGCAGTAAAGTGTCAAGCCCTAACCACTGGACTGCCAGAGAATTCCCACAGCTCTTCTAAACTGCATTAAAAATGAGGCCAACTAGTGGCTTCTCAGCATCAACAACAAAGGACACCCTCCTTCCTCAAACTGACTAAGATTCCGGGGGGCAGGGATCATGTGTCCTTCTGTGCCTGTCCTCTGGCACCGATTCTCTACCAAATCAAAGGATGCACAAGCGGTAATACAGAATCGACCTCACACACAATCTGTAATTATATTAAACAAAGGAAAACATACTTGGAACAGTTAAATTGGAAAACATGGAAAAGTTTTAGAAGTTTTTTTTGCTTTTATACACATATATATTTATAGATATTAAAAATCAGTTTTCATCTTTCTCTATGGTTCCCTTTATTATTTAATGTTAATGGGGTCACTAGAAATTGCAGTTTAGATCTTTAAGTTTCCCCAAGACAGAGAATGATTGAGCTAGAAAAGAAATGAACACTATTGAGATGAACAGAATGGCATATGGGATTTTGTATCTCCCCTTTTTGGGAGAAGATGATTACAGCTTTGACTTTACAAAGATTTTCCTATGAGAAGAATTCAGGACATTTGGAAGGCTGAAGTGAAGGGGAAATCATTATTCCCTGATAGAAATGAAGTTCACAGCAGTACCATGGCAAACTCTTGAGGACTACCCCTTTCACTGTAACAGACTGGATGATTTGTGGGAGATCCTCAAAAGTCCTCAAGGAATGTAGCAGCTTCCAGGCAGACACTTGAGCATCTCTGGTTCGATTAAGTAAGATTAAAACAAAACAAAAACCTCAGCACCAATGTCTATGTCAGTGCTATGTCTATGACACTGAAGGTCACAGAAGTTCTTATACTAAGTAAAGAAAGCAAAACCAGAAAGTGTTACATGAACAATACAAATGCATGTGGAGAAATTAATAACAGTCTTTTTTTTAATGTTTCACTTGAATAGGACTATACATGAATTATTTTCTAAAACAAGTTTGGTACATTATTAGTATATTCACAATAGAAAATTGCAGGGAAATGTCTGCTAGATGAACAAGCATTTACAGACTTTAGGAAAATAAATAAAAAGGGAAAGGTAGGTATGGGAAAAGAAAGGACACCAAGAAGTCTGGAATTTAATTATGAGTATTACTGTTATTATTACAAACATAATCACATGTTTCATCTTTCCTCTCTGAGTTTAGACTTTTAAGAGCCATGAGAAAACAATGTTCAGAGAGATGGAGAAAGCTTCACTATATTCAAATTTGCTTCTGACACTCATTAGGATTTTCAGTTAAGTTTAGATATACTTAATTATTTCATTTTTTGTTCACTTATTGCCCAACCGTTCACACTTCCTAAGTGTATATTTATCCTAGTTTAAGGATCCCTTTCAAATATTGCATCTAATCAATCCTTATCTTTCTGGTTCTATTCCTTAAGAATAGTAATCCTCTGGTACCAAAAATTTTAATAAAAAATGACCATGGGGTATTTTTTTTCCATTACACATTAACACCTACCCCTTAGGTAAGACTGATGCACACAGCAGAAGAGCTAACACTGTTTTGAGGTCCAGTCCCTGGATTTCTAAAACACCACTTGAAGGAGTTACCTGCACTTTATATGATTTCACTATCACAGCTAAAAACAGCAGCTCCAAATCACATGTTGTAATTAATTTGGTGGAGCATAGCAATGACCTATGGTTACAAAAAGATGGTATCAAGATCATTCATTCACTTCAAAACATATTTACTGAGGCCATTCCAAGTTCAAGGAGTTTACAGTCTGGTGGGGTGAAGATAGATAAACATGCAATTGTAACACTGTGATAAGGAGTATAATAGAGACATGAACTTACTTAACCTGGAGAATTAAGGAAGGCTTCCTGGGAGAGGTGGCACTCAAGCCCAGTCTTGAAGGATGAGCAGGACTTAGCCAAATGAATGAATGTTCAGGGAAAGGAAGTATCAGGTGCAAAGGCAAGGAAGCTTGAGAGAGCATGAGCCCCTCAGGAAGCTGCAAGCTGATCATGTGACTAGCATAAACTGCTTGTCAGAATGGCAGAAGATGAGGCTCAGGAAGGAAGCAGGAAACAGATCCTGAAAGGTCTTACATGTCATGGAATTCTTCCCCATGTCCTGCTGTAATTGTCATTTGTAGAGGAAATAACTAAAGAGAATAATTTTACTTACACATCTGTTATTCTTAAACTGTTTCTAAATCTTAATGTTGCCTATTTCAAAGTGTAGTTTTCCATGTCCCTTTGCCAATTTTCTCTTCCTCACCATCTTTCCATCTTGATCACTGTCATAACAGCTACCATTTACTGAGTGTTTATCTGTGCCAGACACTATACTAATGGCTTAAGAGAAATTATCTAATTAAGTCACCACAAGAAAAAGTACAGTTTTGCAGTCAGACCCATGGTTCAAATCTCAGTTCTGCCCTTACTATATGTGTAACCTTGGACAAGTTGTTAAACTCACTGAGTCTTAAGCTTCCTTGTATATTGATTTGGAAAAAACCACCACCTCCTTTTTGGGGTGTTTTTAAATTTTAAATGAGATTACAAAACATTTAATACACACACTAAGCACTCAATAAAAAATAATTCTAATTTTGCTATGGTGTCACCAATACAAAGACATAACCAACTGGTGAAACCAGCAGAAAGTGAGTCGCTCAGTCATGTCTGACTCTTTGTGACCCCATGGACTATAGCCTGCCAGACTCCACTGTCCATGGAATTCTCCAGACCAAAAACAATGGAGTGGGTGGCCATTCCCTTCTCCAGCAGGTCTTCCCAACCCAGGACTGGAACCCAGGTTCTCCCACATTGCAGGTGGATTCCCTGGTGTCTAAGCCACCAGGGAAGCCCCGCAGAGGAAAACCAGCAGAGGGAGCCTCTAACCCAAGGGAAGACTGCCTATCAGTGCATTCGTGCCTGCTAAGTCACTTCAGGGTCCGACTCTTTGCAGCCGTATGGGCTGGAGCCCACCAGGCTCCTCTGTCCATTGGATTCTCCAGGCAGGAACACTGGAATGAGTAAGCCATGCCCTTCTCCAGGAGATCTTCCCAACCCAGGGATTGAACCAGCATCTCTTGTCTCCTGCATTGGCAGGTGGGTTCTTTACTGCTAGCACCACCTGGGAAACCCAAGAATACTAGAGGGAGTAGCCATTCCCTACTCCAGAGAGGATCTTCCCAACTCAGGGATGGAACCCTGATCTCCTGCATCGCAGGCAGATTCTTTACCGTCTGAGCAACCAGGGAAACCCACCAATCAGTGGATGTAATTATTTCTGAAACAAAGTAGAAGACATGATAAAAAGTGCTCTGACAGCAGTCCAAGGCTCAGTGGTAAAGAATCCACCTGTAATGCAGGAGATGCAGGTTCAATCCCTGGATTGGGAAGATCCCCTGAAGGAGAAAATGGCAACCCATTCCAGTCTCCTGGAAAATTCCATGGACAGAGGAGCCTAGTGGGCTACAGTCCATGGGCTCACAAAGACTCAGACATGACTGGGCATGAACATGAGACAAGACTAGACATAGGGAGATGGGTTGTGGAGTACATAAGTAGCTTCACTGGCATTCATAATGTTCTTAATTGAGTATGGATTCATGAATGTTTGGTCAACTATGTTTTAAAACAAATATATACAATATATATAAATTCTCAACTATACTTAAGTAATCTCAATTCACATCCATCTACATCTATTTCTAGTTCCTACTTGAGAGTTCCATTCCTTGTACTTTAAAAAAAAAAGATTGATGTATTTATTTTCTGGCTGTGGTGGGTCTTCGCTGCTGCATGGAGGCCTTCTCTAGTTGCAGGGAGTGGGGGCTACTCTTCCTGCCGTACATGGGCTCTAGGCACAAGGGCTTCAGTAGTTGCAGTTCTCAGGCTCAGTTGCTCCAAGGAATGTGGAATCTTCCTGGACCAGGGATGGAACTGGGGTGCCTTGCATTGCAAGGCAGATTCTTAACCACTAGACCACCAGGGAAGCCCAGTTCCTTGTGCTTTTTTTTAACCCTACTTCTCTTGGACCTCTCTTATGGCTCATCAATACTGCCTATTTTGGTCACTTTCTGTATCAGTCTCTAACCCGCCTAAAGACAGGGTCTTTATTCACTTATGTAGCTCCAACAGCAGTCAGCAAAGTGCCTTAGGTTTACTTATCGAGTCACACCATCCTTTATCTTCTCTTTACAATTTCAGATATTCATATAACCATAATGTAAAATGTTCTTATCAATTCAAAAATTATAATTTAGGGGACTGGTAACATTTTGGTATTCCAGTACTTAAAAAGAATGAATCATATCTATATATGTTATTATGCAGTCATTTCCAAGTCATAACAATTAGAAAGAAGGCAAGGTGAAGAATGACGTATGATATATATTTCATATGCTTGTCCTTACACAGAACATTTCTAAAAGGTGGCATCGCTTCTAGAGAGAGGGACTAGGTGTCTGGCATAGAAGGGAGACATTTTTCACTACATTATCTTTTTGTACTATTTAATTGTTTTGCTATGTGAATGTACAACTTTTTCAACAAAAGAACAGCTTAATAATTTACACTTTCAATAAGGAGGAGGTACACAGACAAAATTCAAATTGGATCAGAATAAACAGCAACTTTACAAAAGAATAAACATCTTGAGACAATATATGGTTAATTACATTTAGCTAGCAAAAGCTTTTTTTTTTTTTTTTAGCAAAAGCTTTTAACTCAAAGGAATGAAGGAATCTGTGCGATGATGTGATCAGGAAAACCTTCAAAGCATAAGTAAGAGGGACTTAACTGAGACCTTGAAGAATAAGATTTGAATATGCTGAGTGAGAAGGAGAAGAGATTATGATAAAAGTAAACACAATGGGCAAAGATCCCTATGGCTGAAGCAAAGCTGTGGGCTAGGGCCGAGATGCACAAGACCTGGTTTTAGTCCTTTGACCTGAAAAGGCCCTTGGAGCAGTCACTCCTACTATTCCCACATTCATTGCTGACTCCCTACCACAAACTGTAATTGATGACCCTTTGAGTGGCTTCCAGCTCTCTAACAACATGACTGCCTCCACAACTATAACTGGGAAAGAAGATTAGGGCTGTATTTCAGGACTACTTGAATAGCAAGTAAAAGAATTTAATGATTTGGTCAGAGGAAGCCTGTGAAAGTTTTTGAAAAGAGGAATGTGATTTAGGAAGACTGAATTAATATGTGAAACATACTGCAAACCCTGTAAGTTTTAGCTAATGTCATTATTAATTTGGCATCATTTACAGGGTACACTGGAGGGAAAAGAGCAACTTAACTGGGAGATTCACAATTATCAGACAAGCAAGAGATTAACATGGACCAGAACTCAAATGGCAATAGTAACATTTGGGGTCCTGGGTTTATTTGAATCCCTAGACATGTTACTCAAATACATCTGCTCCAAGTTCTTGTTTGCTCCCCTTTTCTCATTCTATTGATTAGTCTTTAGTGTCAGTAAGCATTTTGAGCCTGAAAAGCTATGTCTGCTTGAATCACGTAGTCAGGTTTTATAAAGGTTTATTCTATTGCCTGAGTCTTTCTAGCATTGAACTTTCTAGGTAGCCAGTGCACATTTATACAGATTTTAAATCTTCCTCCAGTTCTTGAGTTAAATGATCACTTCCTCACAGGCAGAGAAGTTCTTTTCTACATTGTGCTCTACCCCTCAGCACCTATAGAATGAATAAAGTAGTAATGATACACTTTAAGAGTCAGACACGACTTAGCAACTGGAACAACAATAACAACAACACACTTTAAATGAGGAAGTAATGATTAATTCCCTCCAGATCACCTTTTCAACATATCACTCGCATGCTCAAATACCTTTAATAGTTCCCCTCTGCCTGATAATCTTTCCAACCCTTTATCAGTTATTCAAGAAAAAAATACCTCCAAAAGGAGTTACCAATGAGTAATCAACCAAGCTCATCTGGTTGAAACTCTGCAACAACCAGTCTATATTTTTTTATCCCATGAATATGCCATACCTAGGTGTGTGCCTTTGAATGTTTTCCCATTCCTGGAATGTCTCTTTCACTCTTTGCCTATTTATTTGAATCCTATTCATTCTTCCAAAGTGCAGTTCAATGATGGCCTGCATAGAATTTTCTCCAGTCATTTCAACCCATGTTAAATGTCCACTCATAAGTGTCTAAGCACTGTAAGTCTAAAATATATTCATTCTGGCCCTTAATCAAGAGAGTATCCTATACTTTTAACATCAGCCAAAATAGCTTTATTAAAAAATTTTTCTTATTGCTCTAAAATCATTTTTTAAAAGATTTTTTGATGTGGACCAATTTAAAAATCTTTATTTAATTTCTTACAAGATTGCTTCTATTTCATGTTTTGGTTTTCTGGCCCCAGGCACATGGGATCTCAGCTCCCCGACCAGGGACTGAACCCAACCCTCTGCACTAGAAGGCAAAGTCTTCACCACTGGACCACCAGGGAAGTCCCTGGAATAATTTTTAAGAAAGGTGAAGGAAGAGGCTTTGCTCTGTGCCTCTTCTGAATCACACTGACATCTTACAGTAGTGACCAAATATACTTGTTTAAAATGAGTAAAAATGAGCAAACTCAGGAAAAAGCACTTTTATCACGAGACCAACCTGACTTTACTTCATGAGAGAAATAATAAATAAAAAAGAGATTACTGAATTAAATAGGGAAAGCAATCTTATGGGACAGGAAAAAGGGCTTTCAAATCCAGGGGGACTCGATTTTATGAATGGTTTCTATGGTAGGGACAGAGAATAAAGCAAGTAGCTGGTTAAAAGAAAAAAAAGAGGGGCCTTAAGGGTAAATAGAGTGATATTCTGTTTAAAAGGTGAGAAAGAGAAAGAGGTATGCACCTAGGGAGAAAGTCTGGACTTAGGAAAGGTAAGCAAGACTGTTAGGATGGGAAAGTAAAGGAAAGAGTTCTGTACATGCTGTGTGTGTGTGTAAGAGTCGCTCAGTCATGTCTGACTCTTTGTGACACCATGGACTGTAGCGCGCCAGGCTCCTCTATCCATGGGATTTTCCAGGAAAGAATGCTAGAGTGGGTTGCCATGCCCTCTTCCAGGGGATCTTTCAGATCCAGCGACTGAACCTGGGTCTCCTGCATTGCAGGCAGATTCTTTACTGTCTGAGCCACCAAGGAAGACCTATGTATGCTTTAGGGTTTATTTAAATGTTGCTCTCCAGAAAATTAAACTTTTAAATTCATCCTGGATGCTGAAATTCAAATACAAAATATAAAAATATATAACCTAAGGAATCTTGCCTTTTATTTACAGAAAAGTAAATACAATTAGAATGACACATTTGTAGAGTTTATTCACAATACAGGGCCCCACACACAAAAGGCACTCAAATGTGGAAGGAAAACCAACTAGGCTCCACAACTGGAGTCCCCAGATCTGTGCATATATGCATACCATGGCCTCTGGTGATGTAGATTATCAATATATGTAACTAATAAACATGTATTTCTTACCTTTGTCTTCTCCCTGTTCACCAATAACCCATACTTCTTTTCCTGAAGTCTGTGCCTTCAAGACATTTGTAATAATATATTGTAATCTCTGTGAATCCAGATTGCACCCAATTCCAATCACTCGGTTTGCAGGAAATGCACTCAGCTTCCAAGTCACATAGGTCATGATTTCCACTAAATATTACATGCAAGGTGAAAATATAAATTATTTTTTAAAATATACTTCTAGCCTAGTTCCTAAACAAAATATTTTAATAAGTATATCAAAACCTGTATATATTCTTCTTAGGTCTTAAATGCAGTATGAAGCATTATTTATTTTTATTATATAGCATATAAATTTATTTTGATTAACAATTAAAAACAACTAACCAGTATTCAGCATCATTTGATATAATTTTGTATTAAATATAAATTTTTAAGAGTGGAAAACAGATCGTGTCCTAGAGCAGTTAAGGATGAAAGATGAAAACTGGGTATAGAAAACCAGAAGATAATTTTTTTCATTGATCAAGTTCTCTTTTACATCTAGCTTAAGGTGAATTTCTTCCTTGAAATTAAAATACTGATTCATACACCACTAGCATGTAGTACAGCATTATCAACAAAAACAACTATTTTTTTATTCTGTGCCAAAAAGATGTCAGAAATTTAAGACCAATGTCTTTCAATCAATTACTATAAGAAAACAAATGAAATGCCTATCATACTCCTCTATTGGGAACATTAAAAAAAAAAATCTGTTTACCTATTTGAGTCCAGTACCATCTAATCCTTTGAAAAAATTTCTCAAGTAATTTGAGAAACAATTTAAAATAAAAAATGTTAAAAAATCACTCTGGCATGCTCACTAGCATCTTATGACACTTCTGAGTTAATAAAAGATCTTTCCTATAAGATATTGCATCTTGGGCATTTGTTTTCTCACTGTGAAAGGCATGGCTAACATATTAAAAGCAGTACTGCATAAAAAATTGTAAGTTGTAACCTTCTAGTTAATGCCAGTCAGTAGTAGTAACTGGCTGACAGGATGTGGAAAGTGCTGCCTTGTTCATCAAAAGAGCAATTTAACTGAATACTCCAGCTGTCCCTTTATAACCCTGTTTTATGACTTTTATCAGAAATGGCAATTCTACTGAGGCACTGGGCCATCAAATTCATTTAGAATAAACCCTTATACCTGGTTGAGATGCAACGAGCAGGATACCGTGCTGACTATAATGTCCCAGAGCTGGGACAAGGGCTCTGAACATGTCCACATTGCTCTGTACCACATCAAGGTAGGACTGAGAACTACCCAGAGAGTTGACTGTGAAGATCACCACCTTGGAATGAGCAGAGGCAGACAAATCTAATGAATAAAAAGAAACAGTCTGAGCTCAAGATAAAGGTTTTAACCAAGTTCTTGTTCATGATGATCAGGTTTTTCTTTTCTGCAATCACACAGCTTTTAGCAGTTGCTTCCAGATCTACCCCATCTCGGTAGGAAGGATGAAAATGCTGAGATCTGTTCCAGAAAGAGAATTAGAAGCAACAGTGTATCCCAAGGGAGGAAAGAGCAGAAAAGATAAAATAAATGACAGGATCCAGACTTTACAAGCAGGAATTTGGGTTTTTATATAATTCACAATTTTCTTAGAAAAACTTAATATATGCTATAGGCAGAATGCACCTATAATCACTTACATCACTGATTTTTAAACTGTTAAGTTTGGGAGTCCTAGAGTTCCTTGAAAGTGACTCAGAGACCATGCAGGAGGAGTTAAAAAGTGGAAAGATGGCTGGCAGGCACAGCTTCATGCTATTTACTTTGACCTCTGCAAGCAGTGCAGTGCTGCTTCTATCTGCTTTATTTATTAAGGATTCTACTCCAAAGAGGAAAAAAACGATTTGAAAATCTTGAAATAGTGTTGGCTCATTTGCTACTTTTTCTTACGTTGAAGCCCAGTATCTTGGTTTTAGGTTCTTCTAATGGGACTTACATATAAGCAACTGTTATGATGTAGGAAAAGCAGTTCAGAATTCATGCCTCTGATCCTTATGCACCCTTAAGCTATTTTACAACTGCATTACTTTCTATTACACAGTATGTCTTGCAGTAAACTGAAACTGAAGTCACTCAGTCTTGTCCAACTCTTTGCGACCCCATGGACTGTAGCCCACCAGGCTCCTCTGTCCATGGGATTTCCCAGGCAAGCGTGCTGGAGTGGGTTGCCATTTCCTTGTCCAGGGGATTTTCCCGGCCTAGGGATCAAACCCAGGTCTCCCGCATTGCAGGCAGCGCTTTACTCTCTGGGCCACCAGGGAAGCATTGTCTTGCAGTAAGTACATGCCAAAACAGTGGCCAGAATTGTCAGCATTAGAAACAGCAGAAAAATAATAAACTAGCTAGAGAGATACCAGTTCAGTCAACACGTATAAATCTTTATTAGCATCCGAGTGAGACAATGAGTAGATTCCAGGGTTTACAGTCTTACTTAAACCTCTTAAGGCCATTTTTCTAAACAAGTTGAAGAAGGGAACCTGTGTGCAATGTGTCTGTGAGATGCATTATCCAATTTTAGTTCATATTCTGACATAATCGTGGGGGTAGAGATCCAAAAAACTGAAGTCCTAGATTTTAATTATGTTTCTTCATGAGTACTCTTAATTCCTATGTTCTAATGCTCAGAGGAAAAACCTGGTGATGAGTCTAAATCTCAGTACTGGAAGACATGAGAAGTGAAAGGCATATAGTTAACACTTCCATACCACTTCTATGTGCCAGGTACTGTTCTAAGACCTTGACATGTACGTACTCATTTAATGTAATCCACAACACACTGTGGGGTCCATATCATCCCCATTTTATAGATGAGGAGTCTGAGGCATAGAGAAGTTTAGTAACTTGCTCAAAGTTATAAAGCTAGTAAATAGCAGAGTCAGAATTCAAGCCCAGGCAATCTGGCTTCAGATTGCTGTTAAACATTATGCTATATTTAGAAACTCAGTCCTATACTTTCATAAAATGGAAGGAAATTTATATCTGGAAGGATGAGGGTGCCTGTCCATATTATTGAATATCAGTGAACGGTTGAACTATGACCCTACAACCAAGACAGGCCCCAACCTATCTTGCCAGGATTTTTCTTTTCTTTTCCTCCTGTAGCTTCCTCTACTTCGAATGATGGAAATGCCCTCACCGTCAAGGATGACTCTGAAGTAAACAGAGCAATACCAAGTGCAAGAAAGGCTTCCTGCTTCAAAGCCTTTTACTCTCTCCATAGGCCTGGGGTGGACTCCAGGCTTCTGTAAGTTTAAAAAGCACACAGGTGATTTTCACACAAGTGATCAACCTATAAGCCACTGAATACTGAACAAATTTTACTTCGTTCTGTATGTCAGCAACAACTTACAATATTCAACTACTGAACATTTTTTTCTCCAGGCACAGAATTACCCTTACACACATTTTTGCTCATGTATGCAGATACTATTTCTGGAATGAATCATAAGAAATTGGTAACAAACTTATTTGAAATGCCAGTGTGACTAAAGCCACAATCTCTCTGAGCAATCTATAAAATAAACTAAGAGCAGTAATGGGATATGAATACATGTAAATTAGCTAGAATACATTACTGATTCCCTGAAAAAACATGGCATCTATAATTATTATTAAGAGATAAGACACCAACATAATAGTGTTTTCAGCCAGGAAATGACATGATCAAAATAATATCGTAGGATAATTATTCTATTAGCTCTGTTTAATATAAAAGAAATCAGCAAGAAGGAAACAGGAATCTTCTTAAACTGCTGACGAGAGTATAAATTAGTACAACTCAAAAATATATATTTTAAAAAACACCTTTTGTGAATTCCCTTGCAGACCAGTGGTTAGGACTCTCTGTGCTTCCATTGCAGGGGGTAAGCACTGAATCCCTGGTCTGGGAACTAATATCATGCATGCCTCAAGGCATAGCCAAAATTAAAGAAAAATTTTACTTAACATAAATAGAAACAACTTTTGACCCAGTAATTCTACTTTATCCTATTGGGTAGAGAAATACACAAAGATTTTTACATTACAGTGTTCTCTGTGGCTTCATTTGTAATCACCAAAAAACAAACAAACAAACAAACAAAAAAATTAAATGTCTACCAAGAGGAGATACTCATCCATATGATGGAGTATTATTAAGAAGCTGTTCAAAGAAATACATGTATTTAGATCTCTATGTGCTGTTAATAATGATCTTCAAAATGATACTATAAGTTCATCAATAACTTTAACACAGAATTGCCGTATGACCCAGTAATTCCACTTCTGGGGACATCCCTAAAGGAACTGAAAAGAGGTGTTCAAACAAATACTTGTACATAAATGCTCATAGCAGCACTACTCACAATAGCAAAACGATACAACCCAAATGTATAGCAACTGATAAACAAATAAAATGTGGCACATCCACACCACAGAATATTATTCAGCCACAAAAAGGCGAGATGCACTGATACACGCTACAATATGGACGAATTCTGAAAACATCATCCTAAGTGAAAAAAGCTGGGCACAAAAGGTCACATGCTATATAATTCCATTCATATGAAATATCCAGAAAAGGCAAATCCACAGAACAGGTCAGTGATTGCCCAGGCCTTGGGGAGAGGGAAAATAGGGGAGTGCTTGCTTAAGGTATGGAGGGTTTCCTTCGGGGGTGAGAAAAATGTTCTGGAACTAGATAGTGGTGATGGTTGCACAACACTATGAAAGTGCCCACTGTCACTAATGTAAATTTACGCATATGTATTTTAGCACAATAGAAAAAAAAGGGGATAAAAATATTACGTGCAAAAAACAAGTGCAGAACCAGCTTCCCCAATCTGACTCCTAAAGCAACTACTCTTTTAACAGTTCCTCACTATTTCTCCAGATTTAGTCTATGCACACACTGTTTGTTTATGTATATACAGTATGTACATTTGCAGGGTCATATACACACATGTATATCCTTCTCCAAAGTATTTTAGCAGCTATCTTAAAAAATCCAAACAGAGCAAAGTACAACACTAGGATGATCATCAATGTCTGTCATGATGGGGCATTAGTAAAATGTCAAAATGAGTTTACTTTGCAGTAATTATTAATGCGCTTTTCCATATCATAGAACATATCTGAGATGTTAGTAACATTAAATTACTTCATATGAAAGTAATTAAACTGTTATCAGGAATATGCAATCAAAATTAACAAGGGGAACATGAAAGTTACCCCAAAATAGTACTCGTTCATTCAAAACTCCTTACTTGGTGGCAAGCACCAAACCCTATATATATCTACTCCAAGGACTGTGGTCTTTCAATTATCTGAAACAACAGTTACTGATGGTTAATGAGACACACAGGAAGAAACAGTTTCCTCAGGTCCTAAATGGGCTCACAACCTTGATGGTCCATGTACTAAGCAGTCTCTCCTGGAGAGATGGGGAAGGGTTAAGAGGTTCCTTAAGAACTTCAGGACCTGGAAACGGCAGGCACAAGACAGCACTCAGCTCCCCAAAGGATCCTACAAAAGGATCATTAAGGCAACTACTGTACTCTTTCCAGAGAAGGAAAATAAATCCATTGTATCTTACAGGGATCAAGAGACTTGCCACAACTACTATATCCAATGTTTATAACCTATAGGTTCAATTTTAACTTTTCTGATCCACTGTGGTTCTTAGTACATTCAGGCTTGTGAAATCATATGCCTTGATATTTCACTTGGAAAATATGGTTAAGAAGACTGGAGACCTGCCTAAGGAAAGGCAAAGGAAAGCTAAGCAACTATAATATATTATAACCTGACTCTAGCTATAATCTGTTTTCTGAGACTAAACATTTTCTAGTTCAATGGTCTTCCAATTTTTTTGATCATGCATCCCTAGTAATAAAGTAATTTTAATCCCCAATCATATTTATATTCACCTACATATATGTGTCTATACTACATACATTGTTAAATAGATGTAAATCTTCTGAATTAAAGAGGAAATAAATACTACTTTTTAACATTTTAAATTTCATTTATTAATGATATAAGCTCTCATTTTGTTCCTGTTAAAATTCACTTTAACAATATATTTTTAGTGAATTCAATTTTTTTAAAAAAAAAGTCTTGGGTTAGCACTTTGCTATATACCAAGAGGTATATATTAATTCCCATTTTACAGATAGTAAGATTGAACTTCAAGAGATTATATAATCTGGCAAATGGCAAAACTAGTATGCAAACCCCAATCTGTCTAACCCTAAAAACAGTGCTAAAAAAATAAATTAAATAAAATAAAATGTGTTATTAACCAATATATTATGAAAAAGGAAGCATTTAGAGAAAATAATTTATATTAAGGTGTGAGTCAGATACCAAGAATAAATCCTTCCAAACAATATGAATGTTATCTGCTTATCTCTTATTAACATCATTAGTTGTAATCACTCTATGACTTAAGGTAAGTCCCTTAATTTATATGAATCTTAGTTTCCCAATATGTAAACTGAGGGACTTGGACTAGGTGATCTTTAAGATGCTTTCAGCATTAAAATTCTAGGACCCCAGGCAGAACAAAGAGAATTTTTAGGGCAGTGAAATACTGTTTGATACTGATACTATAATGGTAATACATCTTTGATTTGTCCACATTCATAGAATACACAGACAAGAGTGAATCCTAACGTAAACTATGGACTTTGGATGATAATGATGTGTCCAGGGACGTTTGTCAATTGTACGACTCAGGTAGGGGATGTTGACCACGTAGAGCCTGTGCATGTACAGGGCAGAAGGTGTGCAGAAAACCTCTGTACCTTCTGCCCAACAGCACCCTGAACCTGAAACTGCCCTAAAAAATATAGTCTACAAAAAAACTGACTCAAATACAGAGGCAAACAAGGCACAAATCTTTGAAGCAGAACAGCCAGACCTTTGCTGATCTCCACATTAGGCAGGTTGAAGATGTCAAGGTCCATCATCCCTCCTTTGGTCCCTTCTGAGAAGTCTAAAAGGACCAGTTTGTCTGCAATGCCCTGGACAGTGCAAAAAGAAAAAGAACAGTATTACACTGAACATGGCCAGTTATTCAGTTGAAACTTATTCAGAGATGAGAGCTAAAGAATGTGTGTGTGTGTGTGTGTCTGCTCAGGGCCTCCAACTCTTTGTGACACCATAGACTGTAGCCCATCAGGCTTCTCTGTCCATGGAATTTTTCAGGTAAGGATACTGGAGCAAGTTGTCATTTCCTACCTAGGGGATCTTCCCAACCTACATCGGTTACATCTCCTGCATTGGCAGGTGGATTCTTTACCACTGCGCCACCTGAGAAGCCCAAAGAAGAACATACATAGGCCTTATGTACTCTTATGAAGGAAGTAACACAACAGCGATAAAAGGTATATGCAAGCAAGAAAACAATATCATGCACTTGAATGATGTGATCCTTTGGTTTAATTAAAAACTGTGTCTAACCCTTTTGATGAAAGTGAAAGAGGAGAGTGAAAAAGCCGGCTTAAAGCTCAACATTCAGAAAACTAAGATCATGGCATTTTGTCCCATCACTTCATGGCAAATAGATGGGGAAACAGTAGCTGACTTTATTTTTCTGGGCTCCAAAGTCACTGCAGATGGTGACTGCAGCCATGAAATTAAAAGACACTTACTCCTTGGAAGGAAAATTATGACCAACCTAAACAGCATATTAAAAAGCAGAGACAAAAAAATAAATAAATAAAAAGCAGAGACATTACTTGTCAACAAAAGTCCATCTACTCAAGGCTATGGTTTTTCCAGTGGTCATGTATGGATGTGAGAGCTGGGCTATAAAGAAAGCTGAGCACAGAAGAATTGATGCTTTTGAACTGTGGTGTTGGAGAAGACTCTTGAGAGTCCCTTGGTCTGCAAGGAGATCCAACCAGTCCATCCTAAAGGAGAACAGTTCCTGGGTGTACTGATGCTGAAGCTGAAGCTCCAATACTTTGGCCACCTGATGCGAAGAGCTGACTCATTTGAAAAGACCCTAATCCTGGGAAAGATTGAGGGCAGGAGGAGAAGGGGATGACAGAGGATGAGGTGGTTGGACGGCATCACCGATTCAATGGACATGGGTTTGGGTGGACTCTGGGAATTGGTGATGGACAGGGAGGCCTGGCGCGCTGTGGTTCATGGGGTTGCGAAGAGTCAGACACGACTGAGCAACTGAACTAAACTGACCAGGGTTTAAACAGAAAGTCACAAATTGCAGGTTTCTTTTGATGGGATAATGAGTAATAAAGATGACATGGTACACTCAATACGTTTGCTGTTGTTTTTGGGTTTGTTTTGTCATAACTTCCATTCTAAAGAATCTAGAGTGATTTTTTTGGTCTATTTTAGCACCATTGGTCATTTAGCATTTGGTTATTTTAGCACCATTTGGTCATTCCTAGCATGAAAGTCAATATTAATGCCAAGTTTCTCTAAAGAAAACAAAAAAGGTAACAGACATAGAGCTAAAACAAAACCAATTATCATGCAGTTCTCTCTCCCAGAGATCTCATGGAAAATACTCCACATGCCAGTAGACAGCTCCCTGGGTGCCATGGTGGGTTGACTGTACATGACGGCATAGAAATTCCTGAGAGTCAATTTACCTTTGTGAGAGTCCTTTTTCCAAAAAGTAAAGGACCTGAGCATCTCTCCTAACTTAGAGCTTCTCAGGCTTTAAGAGGTCACCATTTAAAAGATCAGTGAGGCACACTGATCATGAGGGATATTTTTAAACCACAGATCTGGAAGAGGGCCTGAGATTAGGCATTTCTAATAAGATCTCAGGTGATGCCAATGCCACACACTGGGGAGTAAGGATCTAGAATACGGGATCCATAAACAGACTGCCCAGCCTCAAACCCTGGCTCCTTTTATTAATAATATGATTTGGGGCAAATTGGGTAACCTCCCTATGCTCCCTATTCTCCACTTGTCAAACGACAGTAATGACAGTACCTAAGCCATAAGGTTGTTATAAAAATGAATCAAGTGTTTAGATGAGTGCCTGGTACCTAGCAGACATTTAGTAAATGTTAGTTATTGCCATTATTATGACTACTACTGCACTAGTTGCATACTGTTGCACTATTTGAATACTCTACCTCGTATTAAAATATTAACTTTTTTCCTTTTGTTTAGCTTTTTTTTGGGCCGCATGGGCATGTGGGATCTTTGTTCCCCAGCCAAGGATCAAACTCGTACCTCTACATTGGAAGTGCAGAGTCTTAACCACTGGAATGCAAGGGAATTCCTCAGAATACTAATGTTTAAAAGGAAAAACAGAAAAAACTTTCCATCTAGACAGTTCACAGACAAATACTGATACTGAGACTTCTAACCATTAAATATGACTTTAAGGGGCCTTCTTGTGCTGTGCTGTGCTGTGCTGGGTCGCTCAGTCATGTCCAATTCTTTGTGATCCCATGGATTGCGGCCCACCAGGCTCCTCTGTCCATGGGGATTCTCCAGGCAAGAATACTGGAGTGGGTTGCCATGCCCTCCTCCAGGGGATCTTCCCAACCCAGGGATCAGACCCAGGTCTCTCGCATTGCAGGTGGATTCTTTACCATCTGAGCCACCAGGTAAGCTCAAGAACAAGGTAGCCTATCCCTTCTCCAGGGGATCTTCCTGACCCAGGAATCGAACCAGGGTGTCCTGTATTGCAGGAGGATTCTTTATCAACTGAGCTACCAGAGAAGCCCACTTACTACACTTACCAAAAGCAAGTAAAATCAATAAAACTCAGTTCTGTTAGGGATGCCAAAATGAGGTTGATGTGTACATTGTTATTAGCAGCATAAATTACTTCTGCCTGTCTGAAGAGCAATCTAGCAATACATAATAAGTACCATAAAAACTATTCATGCCCTCTCTCACAGTACTATTTCTGAGATTCTGTACACCTAAAAAAAAATTCAGACAAGAAAATAAGCAACTTCTAAGGCAATGTTTATAGAAATACTCTATTTAGTAACAAAAGATCTGCAAACATTTCAAATTCCAATTAAGAAGGAAGAGTGCATTCAGATGGAGGATGGAGGAAATGAAACTATAATGTGCTACAAGTTAGCATATATTGTCCTGAATAGTCAGCTTTTAAAATCTTGTAGCTCCCTGGATACAATTTCACTCTTTGCTGAAGTAGAACCTACCTCCAAGACATAAGGAAATCTTAAATAGAAAGAGACAAATTTACACGTCAATCAATCAAATTTTAATAGAACAGAAACTCAAATACCAGCTACCAAACAAATATATCAAGGGAGAGCCAGTCTATTTTGGGCTACATTGCTCAAATGACACAGACATGCTATTACCACGACACTGGACCCAGGAGGGTCTTCTCAACTTCCCTGCTGCTGCCGCTGCCAAGTCGCTTCAGTCGTGTCCGACTCTGTGCAACCCCATAGATAGCAGCCCACCAGGCTCGGCCGTCCCTGGGATTCTCCAGGCAAGAATACTGGAGTGGGTTGCCATTTCCTTCTCCAATGCATGAAAGTGAAAAGGGAAGTGAAGTCGCTCAGTCGTGTCTGAATCGTAGCGACCCCATGGACTGCAGCCTACCAGGCTCTTCTGTCCATGGGATTTTCCAGGCAAGAGTACTGGAGAGGGTTGCCATTGCCTTCTCCCCTGGAGGGAGATTTAAGCCTTCCTAAAAATAATTTATATAGAAAAGATCCAGTAAAAAGGATTGATGAAAAAATAGACATATCTCAGACCACTGTAAAATATCAAATCAGGAACTATGATCCTAACAGAAAGTGGAGTAATTACACAAGAAAAAGCAATTTAAAAAAATGTTAATTTTAGAAAGAGCTAAATTAAGTATTATATTAAATAAGAGTTTAATTAAAGCAGCATGACTCAGAAAACACAAAAGCATTTGTGACTAAGTCAGATGAGTGTCAACCTGAGGTTCCCTTGGATTAGGATGATGAGCCCATTGTTCAAACCAGGTTTTCAAAGCCTAGTCCATGTCTAACTACTAATTATGAAACAACATTACTAATGAGAGATTTCAGCTATTTTTTTGTCAACTTACTAAATATATTTTAAGGCAAAATGAGGTTTTCCCACATGACAAAATGAAGCCATTATTTCCTGTGTGTTAAAACAGAAACTGCCTAAAAGTGTAGCAATATGACGTGTATTTATAACCACTATGCTTACGTACTTTGGCTGAAATTGCTAATGTGCAGGCAATTCCCAATTCTCCACCTCCAACCACGGTAATTTTACTGACTGTTTTATTCTCACGATTTGCCCAGTTCTTTGAATTTATATCTGAGACACCTAAAAAGAAAAGCAGATTATCATAATTTAAAAATAATATCAAAAGTCTTTTTAGCATTAAAAAAATACCAAACTTTAATAACTTGGACAGAAAAGATGGTACTAGGCACTCCATACACGCATTCAAAAATATTTTTGAACAAATGAAATGCAAGGAAGACAGGAATCTCATATTACTTTGCTAGAAGCTACCACTTTTAAAAGAAAATGTCTTTTTAAGCTTTAAGAAAATAGGATTTCTATAATTTTGAAAAAAATTGTGACTCTTACTGCTCTAGTCTAAAATGCAAAAAAATGTTTAAAACTTACTAAATTGTTGCAAGCATGGTTATTTTCCTTTGTCCTCAATGAAAAACAATGAGAATCACAGATTCTCTGGTCCAATATACTGAATGAGGCAAAAAGCTACATACACATATAATGAAAAAGGTTTGGGATCATTAATATTTATCAAGTGGTTTTGAACAAAACAAATTATTTTATCTGTCAGGATAAAATTAATCTTTACATTTTAAGAAATCATATTCATTGGAACTATATGGTAATACCCTATGATAAATACATAGGAATTTTTTAATCCAACACAATTATGTATATATATAAGCATGTATTTATTTACAGAAATCAAGTAGCAGAGAATAAAGGATATTAGTGAGAAACTGTAAACTCATAACGCTATTAACAAAAATACAAACCTTCAGTAATTTTTGCAATATAGGCTAGCAAGTCTACCTGCCGTGCCTCGTCAGATGATGACAGAGAATACAGGGGAAGTTCCTCTTGAAATTTGGCAATCATTTCTTTAATTAATCCAACAATGACAGATTTAGGCTACAGAATGCACAAAGGGAAAAGTTATACAAAAATTTTGCTAAGGAATACTACCTTATTAATCTATACATTGTTAGAGGTAGCCAAAAGAATACCGAATAATGCTCTCATTTTTTGAAAACCCATAAAAACCTATACAAAAATTAGATAGTACTTTTAACTGAAAAACTTAATTCTTTTAATTAAAAAATACAGGGAGAAATGCTAAAACTACATCTCCAAAAAGGGCAACAACAGCATAAATGTGTTTACTAGTAGAGTACCTATATGTGGGAAGTCTTATCTATCTGCCTTTTAAAAATTTTTTTATTTTTAAATAACTGCAGATTTACAGAAAAGCTGGCAAAAAAATAGTACAAAGAATTTTCATATGTTCTTTACTCAGATTGCTCAAATTTTAACGTTTTATCACATGTGCTTCCTCAGTGCCTTTTCCTCTATTTTCTGAACCAATGGAGAATAAACTGAAGCTACGATACCCCTTCACCCCAAATACTTGAGCATATATTTCCTAAAAGAAAAAACAAAACACTGTCCTATACAGCCACAATCAAGTTAGAAAATTAATGCTCATAAAATATTTATCTAATCCATTACTGCTTATTTGAACTGGTAAAACAACCTTAATGAGAACTCTCTGAGCTTCAGTATTATTAGCAATATAATATGAATAATAAATTCCAATAAATATGAGAAACAAATGAGCTAATGTATGCAAATTATGTTGTGAGTGTAAAATATATGTTTATTATTATTATAAGGAATACTTAAAGTGGCTTGCTCATTTTAAAAATTGCTTACTTCTTCAATTTGAGTTTCATTCTTTATAAAGACAAAGATGCCATTAGAATAAAAATACTCAAATACTTTTAAAGACAAAGCAGATAATATAATATGTGAAGTTGTCAAGTGTAAGAAAATTTGGGGAGATGGTCATTGTAGCAAATTGGAAAGAGTACATGTACAGTCACTCAAACTTATATAAGAACATAACAAAACAAAGCAAAACAAAACCTCTTTGCTGTTCAAACAAAATTCGGTAGGCCTAATGCTGCACACTGACTCTCTTGGGGAAAACACCTGCAGCCTAGGTGACCTCCAGATTCCTTCTAGCTCCAAAACACTGTATAATCATATTAATACTATACAATTTCAACTGCATGTGGGTCTTAATGCAGTACTTTAAAAATCATAACTCATACTTTTTTAAGTGAAATAAGCTGATTTACAATGTGGTGTTAATATCAGGAATACAGCAGAGTGAATCAGATATATATATATAGATACACAGATTATAGACATAAGTATAGCTATCTATCTAGTCTCTTCCAGATGCCTTTCATTATAGCCTATTACAACATACTGAAATATTGGGCTTTCCTGGTGGCTCAGTGGTAAACAATCTGCCTGCCGATGCAGGAGACACGGGTTCGATCCCTGATCCGGTAAGGCCCACATGCCGGGGAGCAACTGAGCACATGTCACAACTACTGAGCTGTGCTCTAGAGCTCGGGAGCTGCAACGACTGACCACATGACACAACTACTGAAGTCCACACGCTCTCGAGCCTGTGCGCACAACAAGAGAAGACACCGCAATGAGAAGCTCATGCCCTGCAGCTAGAGAGTGACCACCGTATTAATGCAGACCCAGCACAGCCAAAGATGAACAAATAAATAAACATTAAAAAAGGATACTGAATATAGTTCTCTGTGCTATCCCGTGGATCTTTTTAATCTATTTTATTTATGTATTTTTATTTTTTGGCCACATGGCGCTACATGTGGGATCTTAATTCCCTGAACCACATACCGTGCAATGGAAGCACAGAGTCTTAACCATTGGACCACCTGGGAAGCCTCTACGTATTTTATATATAGTAGTGTGAATCTGTTCATCCCAAACCCCTAATTTATCCCTCCACTCCCCCTAAATGTGATTCTTCTAAACAGGGCCATTTAAATAATGTATCTTCTTTAAGACTAGTTTTGGCTTATAACAGAGGTTCAGAATAGTAAAGTGAAATCAACACTCTCTGAACTGAAACCAAGCACAACCTCGACTAGATTATAGGACTACCTCTGAGTATTTATTAAACTAACTATGAAAAGAGATGCCAGAGTAAACCAGAAAGAAGAAATAAGGAAGGTAAGTTCACACAACAGGGCACAGATGTAAAAAAAAAATAAGTTTTTTGTTTAAAAGAGAGTAAAAATGGATGAAGGAGATAGACAATTCAAAAATGAAGAAATATACATGATAAATAAATACATGATAAGATTTCAATTTTTCAAGTAACCAAAAAACTAAGTATTAAGGTTAAGACATCAATTTTGTCCTTCCAACTAACAAATTTTTATCATGCCCTAGAGAAAACCACTAGACCATTCAGGTATGACCTAAGTCAAATCCCTTACGATTATACAGTGGAAGTGACAAATAGACTCAAGGGATTAGATCTGATAGACAGAGTGCCTGAAGAACTATGGATAGAGGTCGGTGACATTGCACAGGAGGCAGTGATCAAGATCATCCCCAAGAAAAAGAAACCCAAAAAGGCAAAACGGTTCTCTGAGGAGGCCTTACAAATAGCTGGGAAAAGAAGAGAAGTGAAAGGCAAAGAAGAAAAGGAAAGATACAAGCATCTGAATGCAGAGTTCCAAAGAATAGCAAGGGGAGAAAAGAAAGCCTTCCTCAATGATCAATGCAAAGAAATAAAGCAAAACAATAGAACGGGAAAGACTAGAGGTAAGAAAGACTATCTCTTCAAGAAAATGAGAGATAACAAGAGAATATTTCATGCAAAGATGGGCACAATAAAGGACAGAAATGATATGGACCTAACAGAAGCAGAAGATATTAAGAAGAGGTGGCAAGAATACACAGAAGAACTGTACAAAAAAGATCTCCATGACCCACAATGCCACGATGGTGTGATCCCTCACCTAGAGCCAGCCAGACAACCCGGAACGCAAAGTCAAGTGGGCCTTAGGAAGCATCGCTATGAACAAAGCTAGTGGAAGTCATGCAATTCCAGTTGAGCTATTTCAAATCCTAAAAGATGATGCTGTTAAGGTACTGCACTTAATATGCCAGCAAATTTGGAAAACTCAGCAGTAGCCACAGGACTGGAAAAGGTCAGTTTTCATTCCAATCCCAAAGAAAGGCAATGCCAAAGAATGCTCAAACTACCGCACAACTGTACTCATCTCACACACTAGCAAAGTAATGTTCAAAATTCTCCAAGCCAGGCTTCAACAGTACATGAAACGAGAACTTCCAGACATTCAAGCTGGATTTAGAAAAGGCAGAGGAACCAGGGATCAGATTACCAACATCCACTGGATCATCGAAAAAGCAAGAGCGTTCTGGGAAAACATCTACTTTTGCTTTATTGACTATGCCTTTATTTTTATTGACTAAAGCCTTTGATTGTGTGGATCAAAACAAACTGAAAAATTCTTAAAGAGATGGGACTACCAGACCACCTTACCTACCTCCAAAGAAATTTGTATGCTGGTCAAGAAGCAAGTTAGAACTGGACGTGGAAAAACAGACTGGTTCCAAATCAGGAAAGGAGTATGTCAAGGCTATATATTGTCACATTGCTTATTTAACTTGTATACAGAGTACATCATGAGAAATGCCAGGCTGGATGAAGCACAATCTGGAACCAAGATTACTGGAAGAAATATCAGTAACTTCAGATACGCAGATGACACCACCCTTATGGCAGTAAGTGAAGAAGAACTAAAGAGCCTCTTGATGAATGTAAAAGAGGAGAGTGAAAAAGCTGGCCTAAAACTCAACATACAGAAAACTAAGATAATGGCATCCAGTCCCATCACTTCATGGCAAATAGATGGGGAAACAATGGAAACAGTGAGAGACTTTACTTTGGGGGGCTCCAAAATCACTCCAGATGGTGAATGAAGCCAAGAAATTAAAAGACGCTTGCTGCTTGGAAGAAAAGCTATGACCAACCTAGACAGCATATTATAAAGCAGAGACATTACTTTGCCAACAAAGGTACGTCTAGTCAAGCTTAGCTAAGGTTTTTCCAGTAGTCATGTATGGATGTGAGAGTTGGACCATAAAGAAAGCTTGAGTGCTGAACAATTGACGCTTTTGAACTATGGTGTTAGAGGACTCTTGACAGTCCTTTGGACTGCAAGGAGATCCAACCAGTCCATCCTATAGGAAATCAGTCCTGAATATTCATTGGAAGGACTGATGTTGAAGCTGAAACTCCAATACTTTGGCCACCTGATGCGAAGAACTGACTCACTGGAAAAGACCCTGATGCTGGGAAAGACTGAAGGCAGGAGGAGAAGGGGCCGATAGAAGATAAGATGGTTTGGATGGCATCACTGACTTGATGGATATGAGTTTGAGCAAGCTCCAGGAGCTGGTGATAGACAGGGAAGCCTGGCATGTTGCAGTCCATGGGGTCGCAAAGAGGCAGACACAACTGAGCAACTGAACCGAACTGAATTCATCACATTTAACTGGTAATTTTATTATTTAAATCAACAAGCAATGCAAAAAATCTATAAGTTCATCAGGTAAACTCCCCACCTAAACTCCACTACTGACAATTTGGTGCGCATCTTTTCCTTTTCTTATTCTTTTTCTTCGTTTTAGAAGTTTTCTTTATATGAAAAATATAGAAAACTGTAAAACAAAGTGAAATGCATCCATAGTTGCACACCCTTTTACAGTACATATATAAAATAAGAAGTGATAATTCTAATACCACCCTATACTTCAACCTCACTCCTCTCTATCATCCCTGTCCTACAACTTTCTCAGTATATACAAATATATTATAAATTATCTTGTCATAAAAGTTTTACTTACAAAAATAAGAGCATATTCTATATTCATAATAAATAACAACAATAATAATAAATGAACCATAGGGATAAGCCAAAGCTTGTTTTAAAGATAATACCTTCTTTTATAGCACCCTTTAGAGCAAGGGTTCTATAAACCAGATACCCTCCTCCACTGATTTCTATTAATGGCAGAATCATAAGATTGTGTCTACTTCTTGGAAGCCAATTTGGGAAAATATAAGAATAGCCTTCAAAACATTTTAAAACTTTGATCCAATAATTCCATTCCTAGAGATTTATCATTAGAAAATTATTAAAGATTTATAAGATGCACAAACATTGTCTATTTACAAATATTTATATTTAAGGATGCTCATCATTAAATTTCTAACGCAATTTACAAATATATCATGCAATATCCTAATGCTGGATCATCAGGCAACCATTTAAAAACCATGTGTTTTGAAAATACTGTCTAATATGGAAAAACGCTCATTATAGTAATAGATGAAATATGTAGAATGAATAATCTGAGGGTCTCTTTTTGTTTTGTGTTTTAAATCTGGGCCATATTCTTTTTATTTTTCTACTTTTATTTATCTATTTATTTGGCCGTTTCTCATGGCACGCAGGATTAGTGCCCTGAAACTGTGCTCCCTGCAGTGGAAGCTTGGTGTCTTATCCACTGGACCACCAGGGAAGTCCTTGTGAGGGCTTATAAAATATATAAACTGGTTTCATGCATCATTGGGGTGAATTTTTAAAACAACACTCAGTTAAAACAAAGCATGTAATAGAAGATTATATACAACATGATTAAATTTACATAAAGGTTAAAAACAGGCAAAGCTACATATAAATACACCTATTACACAAGAATCTTTACTGGGGATGATTAGGAAATAATGCCTCAATATTTTGCTAGTAGCTCGTCATTTGCTTTATCAAAGAGCAAACGACTGTAAAAAGACAAGGAGTAAACAATGGTTGGCTCCCAGACCTGGAGAGAGCAGATCCAAGCAGGCTGCTGTCAGCAGGGTTCTGGGACGTGGGTGACCCCCAGGGAGTTCAATTTCAAATTATGTTTAAAGACCATAAGAAGAGTATCATTTAAAGAAAATTCAGTAACTTATTTGTACCATTAGTATCAAAGATAAACATTCAGAAAAATAAAAATTTTCAAAAGAAAATCCAAATTGATCTTACATGGCTCCAGTTCTGGAGATAGGGCAAGTATATTCTGCCTTGAGCATCCACATGCTTTCCAACTAAGATTCCCATATTTGCAGTTGGCTTTAAGAAGCAAATGGGGGGAGCAAAAGGGTGAGAATCCAAAATCCACAAACGAATAGGTATGTTATATGTATTACCTATTTGAGACAAAACAAACACATCTTCAAACAATAATGAAAAGCACACATATTATATTTATGGTATAGCTACGTGACATTTCAAGACACAAGTCTAGTCAAACTTACAGGTAAAGGATTTATGTAAACTGAGGCCTATTTCCCTATATTCATCCACATTCACATTGGAAATATGTTTCCATTAAAGCATCAGTATAACATTTGAGGAAAATTAATCAAGACAATGGCCAGCTTATTCAATTCAATTCAGTAAATATCTATAGGACCTACCATACTAGGAGTATGGGATACAACTTTTCTCTATGTAACATTCTTTGCTCCACCCAAGTTATTTGTCTACAAGTCTATTTCCCCTTTAACACTATAAACGTCTAGAGGCGATTATACATTATTCATTTCCATGTTCCCTACTACAGTGTCTAACATATTGGATGCTCAATAAAAGTTTCTTATATAAATAATGAATGAATGAATGAACAAATGAAAGATGAATTTGAGACTAGCCCTCAAGTTGCTCATTAATTAAAGATACTGTAACATACAAGCTGGGTTAGATACACAGAACTCAAGAGCTGAAAATAACCTTAACAGCCACCTTGTTCAGTGGCTCTTAAATTTTAGTGCACTGAGATAGGAACCCAAGTGAAAGATCTTCCATGTACATGTACTATGTAATGTGCTACACAACCATGTACATCATGCCTCATTTCAGTTCAGTTCAGTTGCTCAGTCATGTCCTACTCTTTGCGACCCCATGGACTGCAGGACGCCAGGTCTCCCTGTCCATCCCCAACTCCCAGAGCTTACTCAAACTCATGTCCATTGAGTCAGTGACGCCATCCAACCATCTCATCCTCTGTCGTCCCCTTCTCCTCCTGCCTTTGCCAGCATCAGCATCTTTTCTAGTGAGTCAGTTCTTCGCATCAGGTGAGAGAGCCAAAATCTCTGATTGCTTTGGTTCAGAGGAAGCCCAAAGCTAAACCCAAGTGCAAAAACTAACCTTAAACTAGAAACCTGATCAATTACCTTAACCCTTCTATTGGATCTCCCAATATTTGTTCCTGCTTTTACAGTCTTACTGCATATGTTTTTTCAATGTATTTCAAACATGGCTGCTCAGGAGCAAGAATGCCTAGGTTCAAATCCTAGTTCCACACATTACTAGCTATAGGATTTTAGGTAAGTTACTTCTCTGTGCCTCAATTCCTTCCTCTACAAAAAAGAGTAATAAAAGCTCCTACTTCATAGGATTGTTTTAAGGATAAAATCAGTTAAGGTACATAAAATGCTTAGAATAGTACATGACATAGTAAGTACATGTTGTGCTCAGTTGCTAAGTTATGTCTGACTCTGCGACCACATGGACTACAGTCCACCAGGCTTTTCTGTCCATGGGATACCAGGTAAGAATACTGAAGTGGGTTACCATTTCCTTCTCCAGGAGATCCTCCCAACCCAGAGACTGAACCTGCCATTCCTGCATTGGCAGGATTCTTTACCACCAAGCCACCTGGAAACACAATAAGTACCATGATGGTTTGGCAATTTTTAAAATTTTCTTCAAACCCATTTTGGAAATAAGCAAGGTATAAATAAAAAGTTTTCTCCTCTACTGAAGAAATCTTTTCTCACTAAGGAAATCCTCTGTTTTTTTCATCTTGCTTCCTTCTCCCCTAAGCACAATGATACTCAGCTCTGCCTGTGTATTAGAAACTCTTTAGGAACTCTGAAATATACCAATACCCAATCCTTGCCCCCCCAAGTTTATGATTCAATGGGACCAGGTCTGGACAACATTTTTCAAAAGCTTCCCATGTAATTCTAAAGGATTGAAAGTCAGTATATAATAGAAATGTCATGGTATGATTTTTACTATTTTATATCAGCAGTTCTCAGAACTATATTCCTCTTCTAACTTTATCGAAGTATTTTAAAATTTTGTTTTTATTTGGGTATAACTGAATATAACATATTTGTTTCAGGTATACAACATAATGATTCAACATTTGTATATACTGCAAAATAATCACCACAGTAAGTCTAGTTACACCAGTCAGCATACACAGTATCTAAGTACTTACAGTATGGGAACAGACATAGCTGTTGGTCTAAAGTTAACTTTATGATTATAAAGTCATGTGATCACAGCACCATAAAATGACTGACAAGTACTGAGACACATCGTCACATTCCTCCAGAATTCACTCTAACATTATATACTCCAGACCAGTGTTTTTCAAATGCTGGTCACAATCAATAGCTTGTGAAATTTAGTGGACTACAAACAATAAAATTTTTAAATGGAATCAAACAGAAAAATACAATGGCAGGTAGTATGGAATTTCAGTTATATGCAAGTGTTTAACTGAAGTTAACATATGCAAGTATTTCTTACTGTGGGTCACAATCAAACATTTAAAAGCCACTCTTTAGGCCATGCAACTTTTTTGTTTTGGAGTGGTAGTCCCAATCTCAATGGAGCTGTTTTCTAATGTTAATCACTACCCTTTAAAGAAAAGGAAACTAATATCTACTGAAGTTATCAAGGTTCTGCTGCCTCCATCAATGCCCCTCCCCAGCCGCATTTATGCATTTTAATATCACACGCATGACAAAGCATGTGTGAGCCTGATTTCCATGGCATCCGGTCCCATCACTTCATGGCAAATAGATGGGGAAAGAGTGGCTGACTTTATTATTTTGGGGCTCCAAAATCCCTGCAGATGGTGACTGCAGCCACAAAATTAAAAGATACTTGCTCCTTGGAAGAAAAGTTATGACCAACCTAGAAAGCATATGAAAAAGCAGAGACATTACTTTGCCAACAAAGGTTGGTCTAGTCAAAGTTTCGGTTTTTCCAGTAGTCATGCGTGGATGTGAGAGTTGTACTATAAAGAAAGCCGAGCACCAAAGAATTGATGCTTTTGAACTGTGGTGTTGGAGAAGACTCTGGAGAGTCCCTTGGTCTGCAAGGAGATCCAACCAGTCCATCCTAAAGGAGGTCAGTCCTGGATGTTCATTGGAAGGACTGATGCTGAAGCTGAAACTCCAATACTTTGGCCACCTGATGCGAAGAGCTGACTCATTTGACAAGATCCTGATGCTCGGAAAGATTGAAGGCGGGAGGAGAAGGGGACAACAGGGGATGATGGCTGGATGGCATCACCGATTCAATGGACATGAGTTTGAGTAAACTCTGGGAGTTGGTGATGGACAGGGAGGCCTGGCGTGCTGCAGTCCATGGGGTTGCAGAGTCGGACAGGACTTAACGACTGAACTGAACTGAACTTGTAAGATTTCACTACTGGTATTGTCTGTGCCCTTCTTCCTTCTTTCTCATTCCTTTGTGTCAGCAAATGCCCTGCCTCCTAGCCTGCCCATTTACTTTCAGTAATTCATTACCCAAGATTCAGAACTCCTGGTAAAGTCCTCGGATTTAAAGTAATTATATCATAAGAAAATAATTTGAGTTAGCTGTAAATAAAGTTCAGATGGGTATGATACACATCTCTAAAGAATGGGTGAATGAAGAAAAAGTGTATCACAACCTTGACACAATCTGGAGGGATAAGAAAAAATCAAAAAAATTTCTACAGGTATGTATTAGGAAATATCAACAGAAGATTCACCTGGGGAATTAGGACTGGGTAATGGGAGGTTAGATATAAGCTTAACCTCATCTTTTCTCAACTGTTTGAATTTTTTTAGCATGAACATTTGTATTTTTTTAAATTATATATTATTTTGACAAGACTTGGCCTCTATTTTTAACGTTTTTATTTATTTATTTTTGGCTGTGCTGGGTCTCTCTTGCTGCACAGCTTTCCTCTAATTGCTGTGAGCGGCTGCAGTGCACAGGCTTCTCATTGAGGAGGCTTCTCCTAGAGCATGGGCTCTAGGGCGCGTGGTCTTCAATAGCTGTGGCACACGGGCTCACTAGTTCCCAGACCCTAGAATACAGGCTCAACAGTTGCAGGGCATGGGCTTAGCTGTCCTCAGTATGTGGGATCTTCCCTGATGAGGCATCAAACCTGTGTCTCCTGCATTGGCAGGTGGATTCTTGACCACTGAGCTGCCAGGGAAGCCCAGTATGTATTATAACACTAACAAAACTAGTAACCAGAAGACAGCAACAAAGGCAAAGAAATAATAATGGGCAACATTTAACTGGGCACTTACTACGTGCCAGGAACTGTAAAAGCCAAGAGCTTTACTTAAGAGTAGTGCATTTAATCCTCAAAATTCTAGTTAGGCTCTTCCCTTGGCCCACTTTACAGACGAGAAAGAGAATACACTCTGACCTCCTCCTATCAGCTTAGAAATAACTGGTGTGCATCACAAGGAGTTGATATAATTCTAGTCAAAAGCAAAAGGGAAAAAAAGAGTGTACTACAAAATGAAAACGCATTGCATTATTACCTTGGAACTACTACCAGCATAACAATCAATGACTCCACAGCTCCAGGAAGATGCAGAGGGTCAACGAGTGACATCTTAAGATAACTTTTATGCCCTCTTGTTACCTCCCTACATGATTTAACAAGCAATGATTCATTTAAATCCGTAAGTTCCTCTGTCGATATGCAACTATCCTTGAAATCACAGGGGATGCTAAGAACTATGAAATCAGTCAATCAATCCATCATAATTAAGAATTAATTACAGGTAAGTTCGTGATTTCTTTTTTCTTTTTGGGCCAATACTTCACTATTTTAACCTGTCAGGACATCTGAAAATATGCTGCTCTTTTTGAGTTTTAATGGGCTCTGTGTTTTAAAAATTTCCTATTGGAGTTCTAAGTTCCAGTCTGATAACCAGCTGTGTGGGCTCAGGTAAACCACGTGATCGGGATTCAGTTTCACCTATAGAGTGGGGATAATGCTACATCATACAGAGGGGAAGGAAGGGGAACAAAACATGCAATGGGAAAAAAAGGTGGAGCCTCTGAAGTTCGCTATGGAAAGCAGAGTAAAGTCTCCATAGCACAGGCTCGTGTCTGTCTGGATCACCTGTGTGCCTCAAAACCCAGCAGGGCAGTGGGCAGACAGCTGACATTCAATAAATAAATATCCACTGAACTGAAATGAATTTGCTGATAACACCGAGGCCCTCCTTCTCTGGAACAGCATTCTGCTATATCCTGTAAGGTTCAGTATAGGTCATATACATTTTAAGTGAGGGAATTCCCTGCCAGTCCAGTGGTTAGGACTCCAAGCTTCCATTGCTGGGGGCCGGGATTTGATTCCTGGTCCGGGGAATGAAGATTCTACAAGCCACGTGGTGTGGCCAAAAAAATAAGTTAATTAAAAATAAATAATTACTTAATTAAAAATCAACCAGCTTTTTAAAATGTTCTTTAAAAAGCACTTTGAGAATGTTATGGAACTAAACAAATACAAGTTCTAATTAAATTGCTCTTTTAGAAAATTCCCACGTTTTCTCAACTTCCATACTTACCCTGATATATCACAGGAATAGTACCAGTAAAATTCAGTAGGTCTTTCTGGGAACTATCTTTGAAAACTAGAAGAAAAAAAAAGTCCCAAAAAGTGCAATCAGAAGTAGGAAGAACTGCATTATTAATATGCATGCATGTACATACGCACACATACAAAAACACACAATTTGTAAATACCATAATCTAGGAATCAGTAAATACATTGACAAGGGCAAAGTACTAAATGATGTTATCATAGAATGCAGAGCAGGTAGCTGAAAGAACTCAGGACTTTGATATTAAATCCCAATTCTTGGCCTGCTTTCCTACTTAGAGGTGATGGAAGAAATTTTTACATATTGAGATATGGGGAAGTCATCCTGGCTCATACATTATTTAACTTAAGCTTTATGCTAACTAGAATAGCCAGTTTTGTGGCCCCTTAAACATACATTGTGCTAAATTTGTTTTAACAGTGAAAGAAAAGGATACACTCTCCAGAAGCAAAGAATGTTTTGAAGACAGATAAATGCTTCTCTTTCCTAAAACATCAATGCTAGTACTCCTTCAATGAGCAAGTTCCCTTCACAGGTGTCAAGGCCATGTTGACTCATGGCGCACATGCTCATGTGTCTTTTTTTTTGAAACCTTAAAGGAAGGAACCCCTGTCACGTTTGATGCTCTTTGTTCTGACATATAAAACTGTGCTAACAACCATGCTTCTTCAGACTAGCCCTTCAGAACTTTATGAGAGGCTGTCTCCTAAGCTATGAGCCTCAGCTTGGCTTGAATAAAACTCCTTTCTGAACTTCCCTAGTGGCTCAGTAGCTAAGAATCCACCTGCCAATGCAGAGGACATGGGTTCGCTCCCTGGTCCAAGAAGATACCATGTGGCGCACTGCAACTAAGCTTGTGCACCACACCACAACTGCGGAGCGTGCGCGCCAGAACCCTCGAGCCACAACCACCAAGCCTGAGTGCTGCAGCTACTGAAGCCTGCGTGCCTAGAGTCCGTGCTCTGCAACAAGAGAAGCGACCACAGTGAGAAGCCCGTGCACCACAATGAAGAATAGGCCCCACTCACCGCAACCAGAGAAAGCCCACACAAAGCAATGAAGACCCAGCACAGCCATAAACAAATAAAATTTTTTAAAAAACCGCTTTTCTATTCCTATTACAGATTGTTTATTGATTACTTCCATCAACAGAGGCATCTGACTTTTGGTTACTTTAATCACTTTGACCTTCAGTCTCATCATCTGTAAAATAAAGACTACATCACAAAGCTGTCACAAGGATCAAAGAGATCATGTGAAAACCCATTATAAGAAGTTAAGGATTATAAAATGTGTAGACACTATCAAATAATCGTCACATCTAAGTAACTGATGTTAATAATCACTTTCAGATATCAGATTATAAATTTTATAATCAGAAAAAAGATTTTATTTTTGAAAGTGACCTTCCAGAAAGATTACTAATAATCTTTGACTTCTCAAACTCCATTATTCTCAACCTTTTTTCAGTCTTCACTTTCCTGAAGTTTCAACTTGTCCATCAATAATTGGAACACACTGATGGACAGCTAATGCCCTAATTTCTGAACTGGATACAGCAAACACTATATGTGGTTTCAAACTGTCAAACTGCCTTAGAACATGGTCCTTTTAAGACCTCAGTAGCAAACTATACTACTTGGGCAGTGCAAGAAAAAAGTCTAAATAGATTTGATGACTTATCAGAAAGGGAGAAGAGAAAAAGCTAGGATAACAGAAAACTCAAGGCCAAGAGTGTACATAAGTACATATATTTACCTTGAACTATATGGTTTTTCCAGTAGTCATGTATGAATGTGAGAGTTGGACTACAAAGAAAGCTGAGCACAGAAAAATTGATGCTTTTGAACTGTGGTGTTGGAGAAGACTCTTGAGAGTCCCTTGCACTGCAAGGAGATCCAACCAGTCCATTCTAAAGGAGATCAGTCCTCGGTATTCATTGGAGGGACTGAAGTTGAAGCTGAAACTCCAATACTTTAGCCACTTGATGTGGAGAGCTGACTCATTTGAAAAGACCCTGATGCTGGGAAGGATTGAGGGCAGAAGGAGAAGGGTATGACAGAGGATGAGATGCTGGATGGCATCACCGACACAATGGACATGGGTCTGGGTGGACTCCAGGAGTTCGTGATGGACAGGGAGGCCTGGCGTGCTGCGGTTCATGTAGTTGCAAAGAGTCAGACACTGAGCAACTGAACTGAACTGATATGTGTGAAAGATAACAAAGATAACAATGGGTGAAGGGGTCACTCTCAGGTAAAAACTAAAATGGACAGAGGAGTAGAACAGAGATTGTTTCTCAGGGACACGGAACAATTTGGAAATGTGGTACAGAAACTACAGTCATTGTCCAAGCAAATTATTCAAAAAGCCAAAAGAGAAATGATTATAACACATGACCAACACTGTCTTCAATAACAAAATGTACATTGGCAATAATAATCCTATAGCTTGAGGGTTTAATGGCACCATAGCTCACTTCTCTAGATGAGAGAAAAGAGATAAAGAATTAACTGGTACAACAAAGCTTTAAATCCATAAGATGAAGGAAGACATCATAAAAGAACATGCATTATTTAAGCAGAGGAGAATATAAACATGAGTACAAGCTCTAACCCCATGCCTAACTAGCCGTGTAATCTTCAGCAAGTTATTTAAAAATCTCTGAAAACTGAAGATGATAATACTCATCTCACAGTTCTGGTTGTAAAAAGAGTATGTAAAATAATATAGATAAAACATTTGGAAACATATTTGGTGTTCAACAAATAGTAGCTGTTAAATCCCCCATCCCAAGCATTTACGTATCAGATGCCAGGCGTTATTCAAGAAAGGCAAAAAACAGATGGACCAGAATCTAATCATTTCTTCCACACATAAAATTAGCTATTCTTTGGCTATCATGAAAAAATTTACAAACAATAAATGTTGGAGAGGGTGTGGATAAAAGTGAACCCTCTTGCACTGTTCATGGGAATGCAAATTGAAACAGCCACTATGGAAGATGGTATGGAGATTCTTTAAAAGCTAGGAATAAAACTACCATATGACCCAGCAATCCCACTACTAGGCATATACCCTGAGGAAATCAAAATTGAAAAAGACACATGCACCCCAATGTTCACTGTAGCTCTATTTACAATAGCTAGGATATGGGAGCAACCTAGATGCCATCGACAGATGAATGGATAAAGAAGCTATGGTACATATATATACAAAGGAATATTTACTCAGCCATAGAAAGGAACACATTTGAGTCAATTCTAATGAAGTGGATGAACCTAGAGTCTATTATACAGGTAAAGTAAGTCAGAAAAACAATTATCGTATATTCACACATATATATGGAAACTAGAAAGATGGTACTGATGAACCTATTTGCAGAGCAGTAATGGAAAGCTAGTGGAGGTGATGGAATTCCAGTTGAGCTATTTCAAATCCTAAAAATTGAAGCTGTGAAAGTGCTGCACTTTCAGCAAATGTCAGCAAATTTGGAAAACTCAGCAGTGGCCACAGGACTGGAAAAGGTCAGTTTTCATTCTAATCCCGAAGAAAGGCAATGCCAAAGAATGCTCAAACTACCCCACAATTGCACTCATCTCACACGCTAGTAAAGTAATGCTCAAAATTCTTCAAGCCAGGCTTCAGCAATACATGAACCGTGAACTTCCAAATGTTCAAGCTGGTTTTAGAAAAGGCAGAGGAACCAGAGATCAAACTGCCAACATCCGCTGGATCATCGAAAAAGCAAGAAAGTTCCACAAAACATCTATTTCTGCTTTATTGACTATGCCAAAGCCTTTGACTGTGTGGATCACAATAAACTGTGGAAAATTCTGAAAGAGATGGGAATACCAGACCACCCGACCTGCCTCTTGAGAAACCTGTATGCAGGTCAGGAAGCAACAGTTAGAACTGGACATGGAACAACAGACTGGTTCCAAATAGGAAAAGGAGTATGTCAAGGCTGTATATTGTCACCCTGCTTATTTAACTTAAATGCAGAATACATCATGAGAAACACTGGGCTGGAAGAAGCACAAGCTGGAATCAAGATTACCGGGAGAAATATCAATAACCTCAGATATACAGATGACACCACCCTTATGGCAGAAAGTGAAGAACTAAAGAGCCTCTTGATGAAAGTGAAAGAGGAGAGTGAAAAAGTTGGCTTAAAGCTCAACATTCAGAAAACTAAGATCATGGCATCTGGTCCCATCACTTCATGGGAAATAGATGGGGAAACAGTGGAAACACTGTCAGACTTTATTTTGGGGGGCTCCAAAATCACTGCAGATGGTGACTGCAGCCATGAAATTAAAAGACGCTTACTCCTTGGAAGGAAAGTTATAACCAACCTAGATAGCATATTAAAAAGCAGAGATATTACTCTGCCAACAAAGGTTCATCTAGTCAAGGCTATGGTTTTTCCAGTGATCATGCATGGATGTGAGAGTTGGGCTGTAAAAAAAGCTGAGTGCCAAAGAATTGATGCTTTTGAACTGTGGTGTTGGAGAAAACTCTTGAGAGTCCCTTGGACTGCAAGGAGATCAAACCAGTCCATCCTAAAGGAGATCAGTCCTGGGTGTTTATTGGAAGGACTGATGCTGAAGCTGAAACTCCAACACTTTGGCCACCTGATGTGAAGCGCTGACTCATTGGAAAAGACCCTGATGCTGGGAAAGATTGAAGGCGGGATGAGAAGGGCACGACAGAGAATGAGGTGGTTAGATGGCATCACTGACACAATGGACATGAGTTTGAGTTAACTCTGGGAGTTGGTGATGGACAGGGAGGCCTGGCGTGCTGCAGTCCATGGGGTCGCAAAGAGTCAGACGCGACTAAGCGACTGAACTGAACTGATACGTAAAATAGACAGCCAAAGGGAATCTGCTGTATGGCTCTGGGAACTCAAGCTGGGCTCGGCAACAACCTGGAGGGTGTGATGGGGGAGGTAGGAGGGGGCCTGGGTAAACCTGTGGCTGCTTCACGCTGATGTCTGGTAGAAACCAGCACCATACTGTGAAGCAATTGTCCTTCAATTAAAAATAAATAAATTAAAAACAAAACAAAAATTAGCCACTCCTAAGAAATACTTCAGTTAATATATGAAGCTGAATTAGATATATTAACTCAAGTTAATTCAAATACAAAACATTCTCATATAAAGTTTTCAAAACTGTATTCTTTGACTAATTCGTAAGTCCTGAAATCAACTTAGTCAGTCTTAATCGCCATCTGTTTTTAAATGGGATGGAATAGAAAATGCCAGAGTGTACATAATATTTTAGTTATGTATACATGGGGTCATGATATAAAATGTATTTACAAGTGTGGCCTGGGGTAAGAAATTTTGAAAGATGAAGAAGTAAAATCTTTCTCAGGTAACCAGACTCTCTATATTAAGCTAAAAAGATAACTAAAACATTATTAATTTATTATCAACCATATATGTGATAGGCAAAATAATGGCCTCTGAAGATGTCCAAAATTCTAATCCTTGGAACAATATATATAAATATTACCTTGCTTGGCAAAGAAACTTTTTTAGATGCGATTAAGTTAAGGACCTGACAATTTCCCTGAGGAAGTTATCCTGTATGATTAGAGTGGGCCTAAGCTAAGCACATTTCGTTCTTCCCTGTTTATCATTTATTTATTTTTCACTGTGCTGGATCTTCACTGCTGCACAGCATCTTCTCCAGTTGTGCCCAGTGGGGGCTGCTCCCTAGCAGCAGTGCGTGGGCTCCTCACTGCCGTGGTTCCTCTTCCTCCGGAGCACAGGCTCTAAGGCATATGGGCCTCACTAGTTGTAGCACACGGGCTCAGTAGTTGTGGCTCCAGGGCTCCAGAGTACAGTCTCAATAATTTGGTGCGTGAACCCATGCCCCCTGCATTGGCAGGCAGATTCTTTACCAGTGAGCCACCAGGGAAGCCCCACATTTGGTTCTTAAAAGCAGAGCACCCGGGTTTCCCCGGTATTCCAGAGGTCACGAATCTGCCTTGCAACAGGGGATACCAGTTCAATCCCTGGTCTGGGAAGACCCCACATGATGCGGGGCAGCTAAGCCCACATGCCCCAACTACTGAAGCCTGAAAACTCCGGAGCCCGTGCGCCACAACAAGAGAACCGCCACACAGAAAAGCCCAACCACCGGAGCTAGAAAGGAGCCCCTGCTTGGCGCCAGTAGAGAAGGCCCAGGCAGCAAGAAGACCCAACACAGCCGAATAAAATAGATTAAAAGAAATTTCTTTAGAGCAGAAAACCCTTTCTGTGGAGATTTGTGAAGGATGGTCAGAGAGATGCAAATTGCTAGCTTTAAAGATGGAGGAAGGTGACTCTGAGCCAAAGAATATGGGTGACCTTTAGAAACTAAAAAAGGTAGAGTCTTTTTTGCCTTTTTTTTTTTTTTAATCTCCCAGAGCCTCCAGAAAGGAACTAAGACCTACCAACACTTCCAACCTACAGAGACTTATGCTGGGCTTCTAGCATACAGAACCATAAGATAGTAAATTTGTTTCAAGACACTAACTGTGTGCTAATTTGTTACAGCAGCAATAGGAAACTAATATAATACAAATTTTATTAACTTCAAGTTTCCTTAAAAACCACAGGTCATAAAGTACAGTTCAGAATCAGGGGATAAAAGAGAGAAATGAGAAATTTTAATACAGTTATAGCTCTCTAAGAACAAATAATTAATAGTTTAAAAACTAGAGAAATGATTCTTACCATAGGTATCCATGGAATATCTGAAATGTGGGAAAAACATGTTTACATTCTTCAGTTCTTCCACAGTTAGATCCCTGAACTTGTACTGAAAAGAGAAAAATGAACACAGAATAATAAAACTATAGGCAACGGAACAATTACAAATTAACATTTAACTGAACACTTACTATGAACTAGGCCCTGGGCTCTGAGTTTTATAACCATGAATGGTATTTGATTTAATCCCATTAATAACAACCCTGTGAAGTAGGTAGGGCTTATAACTGCTCGACTTTATAGAAAATGAAACCTAGAGAATCAAAATAACTTGCTGAGTTAGATAGTAAATGAAACCAGAGCTCAAACTCAACGCCTGGGCGTTTCATATCCACATGAAATTACACACTTGACATCATGGTTAAAGATCCGCCTCTCATGCCTGAATACCTCATTCACTTGAGATACCTAGAATTTCCCTTCCTGGTACTACAACTGGGTTTCAAAGAAAGAACAGAAAGCATGCAAGGTTTGCAGTCAGGCTGAGAGAACTGCGTCCTCATTCATCCAGCTGTAGTCTCAGAAACACTACCTTGGTTGCCCTGTGGGCAAAATCATTTAACTTCTTTGATCTTTTTTCATTGGCAAAGAGAAGGAGACTCCTAGACTCTACCTCTTAAATTTGTGCTGGGAATTAAATAAAATTTTTTTTTTAAAGTACGTTAAGAGTCTATTACCATTCTGAAAATGAAACTGAGAAAACAATCAAAAAGAATAAAAACTCAGGAATACGTTTAACAAGATGCAAAACAGACTCTTAAAACTAGAAAACATTGTTGAAAGAAATTAAAGTGGGTCTAAGTAAACAGAAAGACATCCCTTGTTGACAGATCAGAAAACTTCATATTGTTAAGATGGCAATAGTCCCCAACAGATTCAATGATCAACAATCCACATTAAAATCCAGCTGACTTTTTTTTGCTCATTTGCAAAAATTCATAAAGCGGTCTTAAAATTCATATGGAAATTCAAAGAACACAGCCAAAACAATCTTAAAAAAGAGCAAAAAAATCAGAAGAGTCATACTATAATCAAAAGACAGGCTACAATAAGAAAGATAGACAATAACAAATGTGGGGGAGGATGAGGAGAAATCAGAACCCTCTACACACACCACTGCTGGTGGTAAAATGGTGCAGCTGCTCTGGAAGAGCCTGGCAGAAGATTAAAGAGTTACATTGTTGTTGCATAGTCGCTATGTTGTGTCTGACTCTTTGGACCCCTATGGGCTGTAGCCCACCAGGCTCCTTTGTCTGTGGGATGTCCCAGGCCAGCATACTGGAGTGGGTTGCCATTTCCTTCTCCCGGGGATCCTCCCAACACAGGGACCAAATCTACAGCTCCTGCACTGGCAGGCGGATTCACTACAACTGAGCCACCTGGGAAGCCTGTTAGAGTTACCATATGACCCAGCAATTCCACTCTGAGGCGTACACCTGAGAAAAATGAAGACATGTCCACACAAAAACTTGTGCACAACTGCTCATAGCAGCATTATCTATAACAGTCAATTAGGAAAGCAATCCGTATGTCCAGTATGATATATCCATAAAATGGAATTCACCCATAAAAATGAATAAAGAACTGATATATACATGGATAAAATACGAAAACATTATACTAAGTGAAAGAAAACAGACAAAAAGCCACATATTAAATGACTTGCATATAAAGTACAAAAAAAGGCAAATCCATAGAAACAAAAAGTAGATTAGTGAGTGCCTAGGGCTGGAGGCCCAAAATCACTGCAGATGGTGACTGCAGCCATGAAATTAAAAGACGCTTACTCCTTGGAACAAAGTTATGACCAACCTAGATAGCATATTAAAAAGCAGAGGCGTTACTTTGCCAACAAAGGTCCGTCTAGTCAAGGCTATGGTTTTTCCAGTGGTATGGAAAAACATTTTTATGTATGGATGTGAGAGTTGGACTGTGAAGAAAGCTGAGCACTGAAGAATTGATGCTTTTAAACTGTGGTGTTGGAGAAGACTCTTGGGAGTCCCTTGGACTGCAAGGAGATCCAACCAGTCCATCCTAAAGGAGATCAGTCCTGGGTGTTCATTGGAAGGACTGATGCTGAAGCTGAACTCCAATACTTTGGCCACCTCATGCAAAGAGTTGACTCACTGGAAAAGACCCTGATGCTGGGAGGGATTGGGGGCAGGAGGAGAAGGGGACGACAGAGGATGAGATGGCTGGATGGCATCACCGACTCGATGGACATGAGTCTGAGTAGACTCCAGGAGTTGGTGATGGACAGGGAGGCCTGGCGTGCTGCGGTTCATGTAGTTGCAAAGAGTCGGAAACGACTGAGCGACTGAACTGAGGGCTGGAGGTGACTAGGAGAAAATCAAGAATAACTTCTAACAGATCCTGTTTCCTCTCTGTGAATCTTTTTTTTTTTTCCATGTACAAGATCAATTTTTCATGTGCAAGAGATATAGCTCTACCACCTGGCAACTTCAGCACGAAAGTATGAAAATCTCATGATTAACATTTGTAAAAGTGAGGTATTAAATGAAACGTGTGTACAACAGTAAGTGCAGACAGGAAATGATGAATTGACAGCATATCTAAGTTACAGAAAGGCGTCTGAAAAGAGCTGTCTACAATTCACATTAGAGCCTAGAATGGTATAGAAAAATAGAGGGAAGGAGGAAGGTCATTTTAGCAGAAGGTCATTTTGTTTTGGGGAAAAACTTTGGCAAAAGAAAAAGCATATCATTTATTAACAACTTGAAAACAGAAAACTCTTACTCATCTTTGTATTTCCCCACAGCAATCTGCACAGGGCATGCCTTCAATAAATGTAGGCTAACTGGATGGCACCCAACAAAGAGACAGAGTCATACAAGTAGAGTGGATATAGAAAGCAATTATGATCCACAGGAGCATCAATCACTAAGATCACTAAAATAAAGGGCCGACCAGTATTAACTACAGTAGGGTAAACATGAATCCCAGATTCAGTGTTCCTGATTCAGTGAAATCAAAAGTGAATGAAATCATCCCAACTCTAAACACTAAACAAATGTACAAAAAGCTGCGCTGATGTCACTTGGATTACACATTTATTATGAATCATATCAGTTTTCTTTTGTTTTCTATTTGATATTATATACTGTATTCTACATTCTTAACATCCTCTGAAAATATAATAATTAATGGCCATATAGGGATATATACTAGAATTGATCTAATTGCAAAGTAATATGAAAGTCTGTTGAAAAAGGGCAAAAGCAATCTTTGTTAGGGCTTGAAAACCCAAATATCACTACTAGTCAAGTAGGTGATTTTCATTCTTGATGAAAAAGATCTATTTTTTATCTGTTAAAAATATATATATAATGGAAAAATCCCTAGAGGTCCACTGGTTAGGACTCCATGTTCTCACTGCCATCAGCCCAGGTTCAATCCCCTGTTAGAGAACTAAGATCCTGCATGCCTTGCAACACGGCCAAAAAAGAAAAAAAAAAGTCATGTCACTTTTAGTCTATATGAAACAGAGTATCTTCTTAGTGTAATATTTAATATAAGCCATGACTATTAACATATAATCCATTACTATTCCTACACCACCTAAGAAAAGTCTGTGTAACATTCTCTAAAGATATACCTCAGACAATGCCATTTGCTTAAAGGGTGCAAGCAGCAAACTAAAGAGGAAAACTTGCCCATGAAATCCTAAAACTAAAACAATTATACTATCATAAAAATCATTATGACTGGGGTTTCCCTGGTGGTTCAGTGGTAAAAATCTGCCTGCCAATGCAGGAGACAAGGGTCTGATCCCTGATCCGGGAGGTTTCCACATGCCACGAGCAACTAAGCCCACGTGCCACACTATTAAGCCTATGCTCTGGAGCGTGCAAGCCACAACTATTGAACCCACGTGCTGCAACTACTGAAGCCCATGCGCCCTAGAGCTGTGCTCCACAGCAAGAGAAGCCACCTCAATGAGAAGCCCATGCACCGAAACAAGAGAGCAGCCCCTGCTCACCGCAACTAGAGAAAAGCCTGTGCAGCAATGAAGACCCAGCACAGCCAAAAATAAATAAATAAATAAAATTATATATTAAAAAAATGACAAAGGCTGAAAAATTGAGAAGTTACTAAAATTCAATCTGAATCTGCTCCACTGCAGTATGTTTATGTGGTAGACTGATATTTATGAACATCACAATACTCCTGTGTGACACTGCTCAAATGTTGGACACTGAGGAGTATTTTATGGCATCATTCCATTTTTTAAACAAATTAAGCAGTAAGGAATCTTACAAATTAAGTCCAATCCTATTATTTTATGAGTGAGCAAATCTAGGTTAAGTTACCTGTTCAAAGTAACTCAGCCAGAGATGGTAGAAATAGAAATTGGGGAACCAGAAAGTCTTTCTAAACCTAGTATTTAATATATACTAAAGAATATACACACACACACACACATAAACATATATGTACATATATACACATTTTGAAAAATAAACTTATAAACCAACCTACCCTCTAGTGCCGTCCAGCAAAACTTTCTGTCATAATGGAAAAGATCATGTGTGTGCTGTTGAACACAGCAGCCACATGTGGCTACCGACACTTGTGGCTGGTGTGACTGAGAAAATCAATTTTTAATTTTATCTAATTTTGATGAATGTAAAAATTCACATGTGGTGAGTGGCTACCATACTGCTGGACAGCACAGAGCTTTCCAATCCCATTACATCTGTCTGAGTTTTTCTTCTCTCAACCATTCAAATGCCTACCTTAAATTGTATAGTCATATTCCTTTGCCTTTCCCCCTCCATAGTTTTTATCATATTTGTGTGCATCCTAAATACCACTCTCTACTGCTTAGCTGCTTCTTGGTTTAATTAAAATATAATTTTGTATGTAATCTCCAATTTTTTCCCTGAACATACTGTTTCTAAGATTCACTCCTATTGCTGCATGTTGTAATATTTCATTCATTTTTACTGCTGCAGAGTAGTGTTCTCCATTGTGTGAATGAGTATAGAACACATTATCTTTCCATCAATGAACATCTGGGTTGTTTCTAATTTTGAATTATGAATAATTCTGCAAATGTCTCTTGCTTCATATATTATGAATCATCTATGGTATCTACTTAGATGTAGAAGGACATAAAATACACATAATCAAATTAATTTAAAAAGCCCAAGCTGTTTCTTCAAATGGTTAAATAACCATTTAACCACCAACAGGGGGGCATCCCAGGTAACACAGTGGTAAAGAATCAACCTGACAATGCAAGAGACCCCTGGTTCAGGAATATCCCCTCCAGCAGAAAATGGCAACGCACTCTAGTATTCTCGCTGGGAAAATTCCATGGACAGAGGAGTCTGGTGGGCTACAGTCCATGGGGTCGCAAAGAGTCAGACACGACTGAGCAACTAAGTCACCCACACAGTGAGAGAAAATGGTGTTTTACCATGGTCTCAATTTGCTTTTCCATGGTTACTAATGGACTGGGAAAACACTCATTTCCCTGCTGTCTTCTTTTATTTTTCAAAAAATGATTATTCATGTCTTTTATCCAATTTTGTCTTGGTTTTAATATTGATATGTAGGCTAATTTATATAGCCTTGATACCAATACTTTCTCAATTATGCATTACAATATTATTCGCCAAGTTTGTACTTTGCCTCTTCACTCTCTTCATGTGTCTTTTTATACATAAAAGTTCTCACTTTGAATGCAGTTAAATTTATCAGTCTCTTGAGTATTTTACATCTTGTTAAAAAATGCTTGTATACTCTTGAGATCATGAAGATTCTTCCCTCCATTTTATCTCTATGTTTTAAAGCTCATCTCTTACCTTTAAATCTTTAATCCATGGGGAATTTTTAGTTAGTTAGTAAGGTCCAATTTCATTTTCTCCAACATGGATAATCATTTGTCCCTGTATTCTCCTTTCTGTAGTTTTCTGCAATGCCTCTTCTGCTTTATATAGCGTTTTCAAAACATATGTGAACATGATTCTAAGCCCTCTAGTCTGTTCCTTTGGTTAATCAGTCTATCCTATACCAATACCACACTGTCTCAATTACTAGTCTTGATATCCAGTAGAGAAAGCCTCACACCTATTCTTTGTAGGAAGGTCAAGATTATTCTTGGCCTTTTGTCCTTCCAAATGAATTATAGAATCAGTTTGAAAAATTCCCAAAATACCCTGTTAGAATTTTGATTGGAATTGCATTGACTCTATAGATCTGGAGAAAGCAGATATCTTCATATCCATGAAGTTGGAATATTTATCTAGGCAGGAATATTTATAAGGTTTCTTTTGTTTTCAAGAAGATTTTTCACGTTCTCCATACAGTTGCTTGATTTTAATATACTGTTCACAAAACTTGCAACACTAAAATTACTTCTAAATATTAAGTTGTTATATTATTTGCTCCTTCAAGGACTAAGGAACTTTGGAAATATCTGCTAGACTGACTTGTTTCTAACTGGTTTCCTTAATTTACCTATCCAACAGACATTTATTAAGCACCAATGTGCCAGACTCTATCCTATGCACTGACAAAAACCTTCCTCAACTATTCTGCTCCAACCCTTGAGAAAATCACCGTCTTTCTTTTATCTTTTTCCTGCATTCCAGTCCCACCAAAATTATGAAGTTTTTTTTTTTTCTCGTCTCAACTTCAGCAATTCTTCCCCCTGGACAATACATCATGCTCCCCTCATTGAAAAACTTGATAGCGTGGTTCTTTTAATTTAATATTCTCTGAAAAGGAGCCAGAAAGCCTGTAACCCTAGGTATGATGATACTTCTTTCCCTACAAGACTTACACATCTGTCACAATAGATAAAATCATTCAAATCAGGCATATAAACAATTTCAATCAAAAAGACACGAACCCAACAAAAACGTCACAAATGTACGCTTTCCGCATAGGGAAATCTTAAAATGTGTTATTAATCACTGAACTAAGAAACTGGTGGAAAAGTCTGCCTCAGACTGTACACTGGTGGGGAATCAGACAGCCTGGTCTAAGAGCCTGGTGTAACATGGAAACTGACCTTAGTCACTCCCTAGAACTGCAGGTCAGGCTTCTGGGTCAGCCCTCTCAGTCAACCTTTCAACGTTATGAGGATCTCTTCTGGGCCTTCCAACCCTATTTTCATTCCCAAATACACACGAGTCTTTCATTTACCGCAATTACTTAGCAATTACTTAACCCCGTCGTTGTCAGGCACAGGGCTAAATGAGGGAATGTGCCGCCATGAAGTTCACCTTCAAAGAGTAAGGTCTGTATAGAAATAATTACTCCACGATGTGATAATCGATATATCCGAAAGCAAGGAGAGAGGAGAGAGTGATTCTCTCTCCTAGGGAGTAACATCTGAGTCTTACAAAGGATGAACACCGCAAGTCAAAAACACAGGGGTGGGGGTGGGGGTAGGCCATTTCTGCTGAGAGAAAGGCGTGGTTAAAGGGATAGGCGAGTGCTGGAAGCTGAGACAGAAGCTGGTGGCGTGTGAAGGTCTAAGAGCTGGTGGAGGTTGCGGGGATCTCCGAGCTGCGGGCGGAGCCAGAGCCGGGGCCGCACCGCACCCATTCCCCGCAGCCGGCTTCAGGCCAGCCCACCCTGGCTCCGAGGCCCGAGAAAAGCCGGTAGACGCCCCGAGGCGGTAGGCCGGCCACGGGCGGACGCCCCGAGACCCCGATGCCCCAGACCCTGCCCGGCCGGCTGCCCGCACCTTGCCAAGGAGTCGCCTGAGAGCCTCGCTGTCGAACTCCATCTCCAGCTAGGACCGCGAGGCCGGTTCCACGACTCCAGCCCCGGGATCTCCTTCCGCACTTTCCCTGGACGGAGGCTGCCGAGGACCAAACTTCCCGAGCCGTCCTAGACTCCGCCCCTTCCCAAGCTCGAAAAGTCCACCCGCGTCCAACGCCCGGAGCTCGCCAGGCTCCGCCCGTTGTCTGATCACCGTTCTGCTGAGAACCGTGTGAGCGCCCAGGAACCGTGACCCGGCTTGCTGGAGGGAAACTCGGGGACATCTGTGAAGAAAGGAATAGGAAGGACCCGAGGAGAGGCAGTAAAGGAGGTAGAAGATATTGGCACTGTTCTGGGGAGAGAGTTTCGAGAAGGATGTGTTAAATTCGGCCGACTATCAAGATCAAGACCCCCGAGTTGTAGTTGCATTTAGAGAGGAAGAGATAATGGAACTTCAAATCCTCGGGGGGCTAGACAGGAAAACGGAGCAGGTCTGGAACCTTGTTGAAACTGGGAGATAAGACAGCTAAGTGAGGGTTGTGCAACGCGGGGGAAAGGGTTGGCTTGGCGGGGCGGGGCGGGGCAGAGCATAATCACGCTGGTGGTAGAAAGAGGAAAAAGTCAGGTGACAGAAAGATTTTGAAGACAAAAATAGAAGATTCGCGGATAAGGTCATCTGGAGCAGTAAGACGAAGAGATGCAATTTGCTGGCCTTGTTTGGTCTGCTTGAATAAGTTACTTACCTACTTTGCATCCCTGGTTTGAGCCAGTCTCCAGAGCTTGCTATTGTAACTCTCAAGAGGTTGTGTGGGCAGGAGGGTGATTGTATTTCTAGGAAGAGCCAAAGGTGGGAATACTGTGACTCTATTAGTAGAAGAAGATGAAAGGCTGGAAGGAGCACTTATTTGTTTATTCAACAAACTTTTGTTGAGCATTGGCTGTTTGCTAGATATTTTTGGGGAGGAAGAAATCTTCCTCTATTCTTGAGGCTTCTTCTGGCTGGTCTAAAGAGTAAACTGACACCAGACAGAAAAACAGGAGAAAATCAGACTAAAATTAATAACCCGTATACCTGGGAGAGACCCAGGAGAACTGTGAGTAACCATAATGGCTGAAGCCCCCGCCTTAAATACCATCTTCAGCTAAAGGCAAAAGAGGATGTTGGGGGTTGTGGTTTGAAACCTCAAAGGGGAGAAAGTCAGTTTACGTGGAGATCAAAAGTAAATGTTTGGTAAACAAATATTTGCTGAGCCTTGCAGAGCCTAGGAGACTGTGACTTCTAGGCTCTGCCCAGTTACCCCCACCACGCCTAGCTCATATTCCTTGTAGGTGATAGCTTAACTGGGGAACAGACCCTCTATCTGAAACCTTTGCGGCAACTAGGGGAAGGTCAAAGATTCTTCCTGAGTCTTTTGGGCTTTAAAAGTAATCATCGAAAAAAAAAAGTAATCATCGTAAATTAATCCTCCTCCCAAAGGGGCACATTTTAGGGTGGTAAATTTTGCTCCCCTACCGTATTTTTCTAGGTCTGACAATGGAGAAGTAAACAAAATAGACAAAAGTATTGGCAGTCCTCAGGATGTCATTCTTTTATTAGTAAGAGCAAAACAATAAATATACTAAGTAAATGAGACCATATGTTAGAAGTGATTACATGTTGTGAGGAATAAGTTTTTAAAAGGCAGGGTAAGAAGATAAGGGTAGGGCTCCCTGAGCATTCTGTGTTAGAGAACATCCAGGGCCTTTAGACAGGTGTATGCCTGGGGAAACTGAAAACCGCAGGGAGCCAAATGAAGAGGTGAGGAAGCAGTAGGCAATTCACAGAAACAAGGGGGAGCCACAGATGGTTTAGGGCAATGATTCTTCCAGTGTGGTCCCCAGACTTCCTCAGCATCACTTGGATCTTGACAGAAGTGTGCATTCTAAGGCCCCACCCCAGACTTAACTTGAAACTCTGGGGTTTGGATCAAGCAGTCTTTTGTTTCTTTGTGGTCTTTTTGTTTTGTTTTTAATTGGAGTATAACTGCTTTTGGAGAAGGAAATGGCAACCCACTCCAGTACTCTTGGCCTGGAAAATCCCATGGATGGAGGAGCATGGTAGGCTACAGTCCACGGGGTCGCAGAGTCGGACACGACTGAGCGACTTCACTTTCACTTTTCGTAACTGCTTTACAGTGTTGTTAGTTTCTGCTGTAAAGCGGTCTTTACAAGCCCGGGTGATTCTAAGGCATGATAAAGTCAGAACCACTAAAGGGATTTTGTGGACAATTGTGACTGTGGCTTGTTAGTGCCCTCCCGCTAGAGACCATAGGAGCACACCCATACTCAAGTAGGGTCGATCCCTCCTTGTGGTGAGGGAGCAGGAGAACCGTCAGGAGAACCATCAGGTCGGCTGAGTAAGAGCGTGGAAAGAACCTATTTCAGGATTGGGACTCTGGGTAATTTGGGAGAGGACTTAAGGAATCAAAGCTTTACTTTGGATTGGGTGTTTTCAGAAGCCAGGGACAATTCTGAGATTGAGTATCTCAATAAATATTATCTCGCAGATGGCCAGACTGGAGCAGGGCTGAGGCTGTATTTGGTAGAGCAGCAGTAGTCACATCAGCAGAGAGAAGAGGATGTTTGATGTTTCCTGGGCTGCACAGTAACCTTGTTTGTGTCTCTGCTTAGATGAAATTATGATGAGGACTCGTTTTGTCTCATCTTATCGTGGTCTGTGCTGTCTGATGTCAGTGTTCGGAGAGATTGTTTATATCCAACAAGAGATAACAGAAGCCTGGCTGTAAGTCCAGGTCATCTTCTAGCAACACTGAGGCCTGTCTGGGTTGGGCCAGTTCTCAGATGTCAGGGGCTGCTTTTTTCTTCCTTAAACTTTTGCCCTGAGAGAAAGAGAACGGCACGGCAGGGTTTTGAACAGAGGATCAACATGACCTGAGTTGTAAAAGAAGTCTGACTGCTTCACTGTGAAGAGAGGAGGTGGGGAGTGGAAGCCAGGAGACAGGTAGGAGGTAAGAAGGTTGAAGGATGAGGCCTCTTAAGAACACATCAACCAGATCTAACACACCTCAGGAACTATGGAACTTCCAGGGATTCTGAGGTCTTATAGATCCCATCACAAAGCCATTGATCAAGGAAAATCTATCTAGTTAGAAGCCCTGAGCAAGGTTCTTCAGTCTTTTGTGAAAACCTTTTATGAAAGAGGCCTTCCATTCAAACCAGAAATTCTCTTCTGGTTTGATCACTGTGGATGGATCACAGGCACTAGGAACACTGTGCCTGTTTGTGTGTGCACACGTGCTGGCATTTCCCACGTGGAGGATACATTGCTCAGAGTTTTATGCACTCTATTGCATGAGTTCACCTAGATAGGATTTTTATCAATTATTGATATTATTATTATTCCAATGATTTTTTTATCAATTATTGATATTATTATTATTATTCCAATAATTATTAATTATTATCTCTTTTACTGATGAGCAAACTGAGGTTTAGTGAACTATTTATTATCTATTTACTTGTTTCTGAGATCCTGTTGAATAAGAGACATATCACTGACAGTGTTTGGAGGGAGAAAAGATTACAAAATTAAATATGTACTAGTTTTAACCCCACTTTGGGGAATTTGTCTTACAGAAATAAAAGTACCCAGGATGTTTGTGCAAAGATGTTCGTTATATTAAAAGGGGAAAAAAAGTCCCCAGGCTAAGAAATGGGTAAAGTGTATATTCTGCTCCTTTGTTTATAGCTTGAGAAAAATCACAAGAATGGGTTGTTTAAAGTTATAATATTTTTTTATTGGTGCTCTGCTTCTGATCTCTGTTTATATTCTGCTTTCATAGTTATGGGTCCTACCAGACACATTGTTTAGGGATAAAACCTTGGTATTCTGTCTATCAGACAAATGTATCCTTATCATTTACTTCTTAAAAAACTGTTTTTAATTGTAAAATACACATAATGTACAATTTACTATCTTAACCATTTTAAGTATACAGTTCGGTGGTAATAAATACATCCATAATGTTTTATAGCCATCACTACCATATGTCCCCATAAGTCATTTTATCTTACAAAACAAAGGCCATACCCATTAAACAATAACTTCCCATTCTTCCCCTCCTCCAACCCCTGGAAACCACCATTCTGCTTTCTGCCTCTATAATTTTTACTAAGTATGCCACCAATGTAGTAGAGAGTCCAGAAACAGACCCTTACATTTATAGTCAATTATTTTTGACAAAAGTGTCAAGACCATTCAATGGGAAAAGAATAGCCTTTTCAGCAAATGGCGTTGGGAAAACTGAGTATCCATATGCAAAAATGAAGTTAGATCCTTATGCAATACCGTATACAAATATTAACTCAAAATGGATCAAAGACCTAAATCTTAAGACCTAAAACAATAAAACTCTTAGGAGAAAATATAGAAAAAAAACTTCCTAAGGTTAGACTTGGCAGTGATTTCTTGGATATGACATGAAAGACATAGGCAACAAAAGAAAAAAATAGACAAATTGGACCTCATAAAAATTTAGAAATTTTGTTCACCAGAGGACAGTATCATTTACTTCTTAGATGTGTGAAGATTGTATTGTTGTTCACTGACAGCATATGCTGCATCTCAGGGAGTCCTGCCACAAATGTCCTTTGACCTTGTGAAATGAAACTGTAATCTCTCTTTTTTAAACAGGTTCTTTTTTTATAAGGATTGTATATAACCTCTCATGCTCTGTCTGAACCAGCATAACTTTCTGAGAGTCACTTTGCCTTCTCCGGTGAAGTAAGAAACACAATACTCAGGAGAAATTTGTCCAAGAAAGTTTGTGTTTCACAATCACAGCAATGTTTATGGTGGTAAAAAGTTGGGGGAGAAAAGAAGACTAAATGCACATTTTGCCTGTTGCTTGCTTATTACCTTTCAGTTCCAAGTCCACCATTCATTGCTTGCTCTGCTATAGTGGAACTTAAAAAAGCACTTTTCCTTTGCTAGTGGGCTTGATATCAAGTTCTGTCAATAGAGGG